TTCTGCTACAGAAACAGCCGTGTGTCACAGGTGGCAAAGGACAGGCTGGGGAGGAGGACGAGAGAGAGCTCTCATTCTATCAATTTAATGAGTTCTTTCCATAGCAGATCTGGAAAAGGCTGAAGATGATAAGTGGCTTTTCTTAGAGATCCAATGACTGTGAATTGGCGTGGGGGAGCTTCCTTTGTTACGCAGCTGACCAGATTTTCTGCAGTTCGACCTCTGAAGAGCCGAGCTGTTCTCAGAACTGAGCTGTTCTCAGCTAAAGTGAACACGCAGATGGCAGCTGAGCTCTTCTGAAAAACCAAGGTTCATGCAGGGCTGAGTTCTGAGGCTGCAGGGCTTCCCCCAGCAATATCCCGGGCCTCACGGGGTGATACAACGCTGGGGAGGAACTTCAGCCTTCCTTCATTTGCAGAAGTGTTTGTAGCGTAGGGGTGCGGTGCACTGCAGGGAGCCTTGCTCTGGATCCCTTTGCCCAGCCCAGGAAAGGCATCTGTGGGAATAAACTGAGCCCTGGGGGCTGCTGGTAACTTTTGAAGTGATGTAAAACAAGGGTTTCACTTGGCTCATTTCTACCTCCTGAAAACCAATGTTGTTTTACCTTGTACCTCATGAACACCAGCACTGACCTCCTCTTGAGAAACTGGATAAGCTCTAAACCTTGATGTACAACCATTCAAAGAGCTTTAACACACACGAAGGCCACTTCCATCAGCAAAGAGAAACCTTGAGGCTAAAAAGCCAATCTGCAGGTAGTCCTTATTTAGTGGGCAAGGATATATCTTTTTTTTCAGCAGGGTGAAAATGTTGTTTTAAAAATTGCAAATTTAAAAAGTGACTATTTATTCCTACCCATCTAATCCATCACATTTTCTTAGTGATGTGAAAGCACTTCTTCTCCAAGCTCTTAGGCTCCTTCTCGCCTCACTACAGCAGTCGGGAAACAAAGCCACGTTTCTCACAGAAGACACAAACACAGCACATCTCACGTGCCACCAAAAGCAGCTCTTTGCACCATGCAGCCCAGTGGAGTTTTTCCCCTCTTTGACTCAGATAACATCTGTCTGGTGACTGGGTGACACTTAGCAGGAAAACGCATCTCAGCTTTGTAGCAGGAGTTGACAGCACTGATGTTCTACTGCTTCTTAAGACACGTGAACAGACAGCTAGAGCTGTGCTGGCTCTGATTAAATAAATGCTGTGGAGTCAGCCTCCTGAATTTCTGTTTGCTAGGAACAAATCACACAGAGGTGAGAGCCCGTGTCCTGTTACAGTCGCCACTGTTACACTGTAATGAACCATTTATGAGCAACCCTTATGAATGACCACTTGGATGTATTTATGGGCACTGACAGGAACTTCAGATTTTTTTGGTTTTGTTTGGCTACTGACCTGAACATTAACTGCTTAAAAGCTATCAATTACCTCAAAAATAATTACAGCTACATTTTCTATAGCACAGAAGAGCCGTGGATGTAGAACCCACGCAAGAATAGGTACCTTCACTGAAAATACGCCAGATGTATTTATACACACAAATAGGCACACAAAATCAGTAGATGCCTCTGCACACTTTGGTGTGCAGAGTTATTTTTAAGAGTATTCAAAACCTTGGCAAGCCAGAACTGAAACTGCTCTCGTTTGCAGCCCCAACCGATGCACACCACGCGCTGTCACTGCAGTCACGCACACACGGCCTGCTCAGAAGCTGCCTCGTGCTTCTGCTGAGGCAAAGAGGTGTTGTGCTGGGACCTTGGAATCCGTATGCCACATCAATAGCAAAAGGCAAACAACACACCAAGGACCCGAATAAACACGGATCATTTTGTTCGCTGCAACCGCTTACAAACGACAGAGGCAGCCCTGAGTTATGCAGAAGTCGAGTGCTGTGCCCTGTTTCTATAATCGGGCCTCCTGTTGAGCTGCCTGCTTCCTACGAGACCTGGGTGAGTCAAACAGGGCTCGGGGAGGTGCAGCCTTGGCAGGCAGCTCGTCTCATTTGAGAAGTTTCAGTTCCTGGACAGGTTTTGTAAGAACAACGCCCTGAAGCAAGAGATTACGAGACAGCTTGGCTGCATTTCATCCTGAGCAAGGGAGGCTTCAAGCAGAGCTCCCCAAGCTCTTTTACCATAACACACACTGCTCCTCCAGTAGCAGAGGAAAAAAGCAGAAGCTGTCGCGGTGTATTAACTGGTAGAAAGAATACGCTTAGATATGCCTGACATCCCAGTTGCAGAGTCCAGTGCCATCCTTAGAACCACTTCCTCCTCGTCAGCAGCTTCCTGTGTGATTTCCTGTGTTGTTGTGTAAGGGCAGTACGAATGAAAGGATTCCTCGTTTACAGAAAGCCATTTTCTGTCCTTAGCAGCTTTTCTTTCAACTCTACTTACAAAATCCCCTTTAAAAACAGTGTCCTAACAGGTTGGTTTCCTTTGGTTTGTTTGGTTGTTTTTAAGATTTACATTATTTCTATCTACAGTCAAAATCTTCCTCCTGACTTCTCTTTTGAGATACAGCTTTGGTTAACACAGAAACATAAAAGCTCTCATTACAAAAGGTACTTTCTGAGAAAGAGTACAGCAGGGTTTCTATTGCATGCACACGAGCTAATTTTTCACTTAGGGATCTTAATAGCTACAAATGTCTTAGGCTTTATTTCCTAAAGAAATTAATTTCCTTTCCATCCCCATCCAAAATCCACTCTGACGAGCAAATGTATCCTGAGTAATTTGCATGCACTGTGCACCATTCCTACTATGGTGAGGATATCACTCCCTCCCACAGACACTAAAGCTGCTTACTCAGTGCTTAAGGCCAAACTCTAATAATGCTTTGATGGATCCTAAACTGAGGTAAGTTGGCATCTCCCGGCAGCTCCTGAAACTGAGCTTTGGCAGAAATATAACCTTCTTTGTACACAATTAGATTCTTTTAGTTTCACTTAAACTGCCACCCACCTTCTATTGTGTGCTATAAACCTTCCAAACAGTCTGAACTTTCCTCTTTTTTATTAATATGTAAATTAAATCAGTTTACCTTCCTGCTAGTCATCTTCATCTGGGTATTATAGATTAATGTAAGGAGAACCCAGCTGAGACAAAGGCAGGCTGCTTATCTTCCACATATCCTCATGCTTTTTTCCACATCTTGTTGGCTTGTCTGCCTAGAGTCAAGCCAATTTACTCCACCTCTTTTGTTAAGAACACTGTCAATGAACTAAACCCAAGGAGCTGCGTAGCACAGGCAAAATGTGAGGCTTGTGAGGACCAAACACATTCGTTGCTCCTGACCAACAGCGCTTCCTGTGATAAGAATAGTTTCTGCTTACCACAAGCTGTCATGAACTTATGCACAAATTCCACTTTCTGAGAACTAAACCAGTATGCCTCAGGCTGACCTTCATGTGAATCTTGGCAGGTTTGGTTCACACGGCTTGGCGAAAAACAACCTAGACTCCTGGAGTTTGTCCACAGCTTTGCACTCGTTCACCCCTGGCTTTCCAGCTCTGGCAGGCAGCTCACCACATTTCACCCACAATAGTTCTAATAAACCCATCTTTAGTGTAATTTCCACCTGCAGCCTTTAACCACCTTGCATTAATGTTGCACTTGAGGTTGAAAACAGAAGGTGGACTTCAGGTTTTATTGTAGAATACTGGTATGACTCCAAGAAACTTGTTTCGGTAGCAACAAGTTGAATTCAACAGTAGTTTCTGTTTTATGTAGGTTGTTTTCAGAGGTTGTTGACATCATCCCACCTGTCTGGGCTTCTCTGCTGTGATGACATCCTCACCATGAGACCCCCGTGCCTTTGAGAGCTGTGGCTTTCCAAAATCGTGGTTCTGGATAGCATACCTGATCCACAGGTACACAGCAGCAGCAGCAAATGATGAACACGAGCTCTCCAAGTCCCAGTTTTAACAGTGGAGCTGATGTCTGCAATCCTCAGTTATCTGATTACCCTTTGTGGCTTCAGTAAAACAAAGACAGTGCTACTTAGATCTTCCCAAGCCCCACAAGACTCAGATGGTTAGCATATGTGAAAGGTTAGGATCTGTACGATGCTTTCTGAACAGCAGATGCATTTGGATTTCCCAATGGCTTGTACCTTTTTCATTGCTTTCACCCAACAGTAATCAGCACATCACACGCAAGGCAGCATCTAGCATCTTTGCACTTCTTAGTTTATACTTGGCAAGGTCGTACAAGACTGTCATGGCTTTGACTCCTGCCCTCGTGCAGCTGGGATGGCCACTGGCAACCTCAGTGCTTGAACCGAGCTGGAGCTGCAGTTCCAGGAACGTGGCCTGACCCAGTCCCCTGTGATGGAGCTGGGGCTGCTCCAGCTCCTCAGTGGAACTACACTGACTTTCACTGACCAGTGCCTGGCCACCTCCTTCCTGCCTTTGATTTTGGTTTGTTCACAGACCGCAGTGGAACCAAGGAGGGACATCAGCCTCAAGATACACTTGGCAAGCTGACATGGCCAGAGCTAGTGAAAAAACACCAGCCATGACAGCCATTTCCCCATGGTCCCCAGATATTTACAATCTTCCAGTTCTACTGAGCAGGTAAAATGATTCCCTGTTGTGTTTGTGTTGCAGCTATTCTGCTTCCATCCAGAAATGCAGATGGCTTTTCTCAGAACTTGAAAATGTTGTTCTCTAATCAACTGAATTGAGCTTTGTATTTTGTGAAGTGGTGGGGACTAAGTACAGCCTGTCTGTAATGACACATCTGTCTTCTAAGAAGCTGCATAGAGCACAGCCAGAAGACCTTTGGGCTCATCTGAAAACGCTGCATTCAAATGAAAAGTGAACTAAAAATAGTAATTACTGGAAAACAAAGGGGACAACCTGAACCCATGGTTGGCAGACCTAGTACAATAGGAGCAATATGCAATTGTATGCATATTTCTAAACCATACTTGAGAGCAGCTTCCAGGAGCTTCCAAGTAGAGATGTGTGCATAGCTCTGACAGGAGAGAGGGCCCAAACACAGGCCAGCCCGTTTAACATATTGCAGCTTATCTAGCTGCAGAGCTTTCAGATGGACAAGACCTAAATCTTTTCCCCTATAGCAGAAGGCCTGAACAAACAGTGTAAATAACCACGATGAGGTAAGTCTGGGTCAGTTTAAGAAATAAAAAGCATTTTTTTCCTACGTGTACAAATTTCTCCTCTGCTTTTTGGGGGGAGGGGGAGCATTCTCTATTGGTGTTATATTAAGGGAGAGCATTCCAACAGTTCCCATAGACATTTGCATGTGGCTAACTTACCTTATGTTAGATATGAAATTTGGAATGGAAGTTTGGACCACGATTCTGTGGTCATTTGTAACAGGTTTGAGCACTACTGGATCATTTAGCATGACAAATTCAATCCAGATCAGGCCTGGGCACACAATTATGTTTCAGCCAGACTGCATAATGTGGCGTTTATGCTGGCTGCGGGAAGACAGACAATATCTAATCTGGCATAAAGCCTACCAACACAGAGCTAATGTCAGAACTTTCTTGAACGATTTTCAATGGGATCAGCACTTCAGGTTGTGTGGTCAAGCATTTTATATCCAGGAACCCTAGAGCCAGATCTCCTGCATTGTCAACCTGTGACCATTTTGGCAGCATTCAGACATTCTCCATAAAGCTTTCTCTTGTTATGCCTCCTTGCAAGCCCTTTGTCCTATTTGAGATTCTTGTTGTAGCCCATAATAGCACTATAAGTATGAAGTATTTGGTATCTCTCTAAACACAACAGCCTCTCACTGTTGCACTGTTGCTCCCCTGGTCCTGCAGAACTGTATGTGCATCCAATTGCTCATAAATTTTCAGACACAAATATCACAGTTGTTTGTACAACTAGACCAATGGATGCATGCTAGCTGTCATTTGCTTGCAGTTACCCTATCATTGCCCACACAGCCACAGGAACTGTCAGCATTGATCTTCCAGTCCATCTTTCTAATGATCATTAGTGGCATCTGATTCCTGAAAGGACCCATGCTTCTGCATGTCTCTATATTCCAGGTCTTGGGCTGGAAAAGACTGTGCTTGCTTTCATTCTCAGAAGGTGTTGTTTCCTGAGAAAACCAAGAGTGCCAGGCTGTCAGTCACTGAGAAACCTTGAAGAATCTCCTCTCTGTGCTGTTCTACCTCCTGACACCTCCCATCCAGTCACTTTTACCAAAGTAATCCTTCTAATTTACAACTGCAGGCTGGAGTTTCTCTTTGGGAGACACTCATTCTGGAAAAGTTGCTTATTTTAGAACCCACAGCCTCTAGGAAGATATTTTTCCCTAATCCCAAACTAAATGATATCATACTTGGCTAGTGCTGTAACCATGGCACTGAAGTTATTTATGACTGAAATTAATGCTATAGTTAGCAACACTGGGGCAGGGTTCCTTCTATGCTACTGTCCAAGTGCCTCCCTCCCCCAGCCCAAGGCTACACTGCAAAGCAAGACACAGAGTCTCCAGAGGGTCTTTAATTTGCAGTAAACAATGTCAGCCTTTGCTGATTCCCAAAACTTGGCAATGCACAACTGGATATGCACAAAGATGCATCTTCTAAACAAAACAAAGCACTTGGCTGTGTTTCCATTGCTCTTACTTTGCTCCGAGATTTATTTGTTTTTATTTATTTTAGCTCTTAAAGTAAATTCCTTGAAGAGACCTGGAACTCCAGCGTGCAGAGCCAGGACTGGCAGCAGCAGGGAGAGCTCAGCTGTACACCACTCATCAGCTCTAAGCTGAGGGAATCACCACGAGGGAAAGAGGAGAGGTCTGCATTTGTGCCTGGGGACACTGTTAGTCACCTCTGAGAAACTGATAGCCTGCCCGTATACAAGCTATCTGGGAGCCAAACCAATGTTATTCCAGTCTGATCCCTCTGCAAAGATCCCAGAGAAAGTTGGGAAGAATCCAGCAAAGTGGGAAACAGAAGAAACAGAAAAACCACACAGTGCTGAGTTCCTCCTGGTCAAAGATCAGGCAGCTCCCTATTTCCACAGCACAGATGAGAGGGAACAGCTTGTAGTCACATCCTGAACTTCAGACAGCAGTGTAGTGACCCAGACACCTCTTTTGTGCATTACACCAGCAGCAGCAGCTCCTGCATGCCTTCCTCTGATCATCCCACAAGTCAGAGAATTGTAGAACAAAATTGCAAAACAGACACAGCAAACAGGAAAATAAAGGATGAAACAGGGAGGAGAAAAGAAAACAGAAGAGCACAGCAAGAAGAGAAGCAGTATGGGGAAGTGGTGGTACGCTGTGCTGGGAAGAGTACAAGGATATCAGGCCACCTACTGATTCATACAGTGGGCAGTTTAAGTGGATTTAGACATCACATGCAATAAAGCAGGCAAGCCAGTCTCTACTGTCCACACCACAACCGTGGTTCCAATGGATGGAACATTGATTTCATGCCAGTTCTGCTACCTGGATGAACCTTTCAATGCCTTTCTTTGAATGCCAGTTGGCACAGCATCTAATTCTGCTCACCCCAGGAGTGAAGAACCAAATGCCTACTCCATGGTTTGGAGCTTTTTGGATAGACTGGCTTTGGGCCCAATCCAATTTACAACTACAGTCGATAGAGGAAGGTCTTAAGGGCTTCACTGAAGTAGTCAAATCATTCTGGGAAAACGTACTGGGGGACAATGCAGTATTTATTTTATGCCTCAGTCTTATTTTATTTTACAGCCTAAACCTCCAATTCCCAGAGCCACAATTCTCCCATTGCCTTCATGGAATTTATATTGGAGTCACTTAACAGGGCTTTGCTATGTCTAAATCATTGCCTTATTTTTTATTCTATTTTTTCTTTGCTTTTTTTTTTTTTTTTTTAAATTTATTTTTTCTTCTTTTGACCACAGGCAAAGGAAATAAATCATCTGATATCCTGCCAGCAAACTGCCATCAGCGCTTTGAGACTGGAGGCGTTTCTCCTGCCCCAAAAGAGCTTTAAAAAAAAAAAAAAAATCTAGCTGATAACTTGGATAAGGTTCAGGTATGTTTGTGTGCATACCAGCAGTTAAACTGATTTCTCCCACTATCTTATCTTTCCATTTCAAGAGGAAGAAGTTTGGCAGGCGAGCTACTCTTGGAATGCACTCAGTAAACCGTGGACAGGAGAACCAAGGAGCATAAATAGAAATAACCATAGGTGTAGCAGCTGGGAACCTGACTTCTGGCTTCTATTCCTAGCTCTACCCATGACTCACTTGACGACTTTGGAAAGCCACTTCACCTCTCCCTGCTCCAGCATTTTCACATGCACAGCTCACCCATTTCACAGGTACCCCAGGCAGAGGAACCCCACTGCTCCCAGCTGGGTAAGTGTCTCCGGAGGAAGAACCTCATCCCTCTTCCTCTGCTAGCCCCAGGCCATCCATCCCCACAGGTCAGGGCACCCAGAGGGGAACTGGCAACTTGAAGCAAGTGCATCTTGTGAAGCTTCTTGGGATCCATCAAGGAAAGGAAAAACACTTTAACAAAATGTTGTTAATTATAGCTTGACAGCACATAACACATTCCTGCTCTGGACAGAGCTCTGCTATCAGCCAACTCAATTATACATTATCTTTGCCCAATTCCCTCCTTATTAATTGTGACCAAAGCACTGAATAAAGCCAAATTGCTGCTTGCTCTCCATTTCTCCTTATTCAACACCAGTTCCTTGACAGCGACAGTGAGACTGCAAGGCTGCTATGTGGGGCTGCCTGCACTCCCTGCCCCCAGCCTGCAGTAAATATGTCTCTCCACTTTTATTCCTGCCTGCCCAGAGCAGATCCCTTGCATGCTGATTCCAGATACAGCCGTGGCTGAAGCAGGATGGAGCTGTGCCGTCACCCCAGCAGACGCCCTGCCGCAGGCCATTGGAAAGCACAGCCCCTTTTTTCCAAGTGCTCTGCAGCATCCTGCTCCAGTTGAAGCATGCAAGAGCCCAGACTTCTTCAAACCTTCTGGGGTCATCCAGACCCCAAGGAACTGGGATTTAGCATTGGTAGCAAGCAGGAAAACTGCAGCAAAACCCGGTGCCCACATACACTCTTTGCTTTGGGGGCAACAGCAGCATGAAGGCATCCCAGATCAACCTGATTTCTATATAAAAACAGGAAACTGCCCCTCCCTCCACCAAAAGGGAGGAAGAGCTTCCTGGCCTGTATCTGTGTCACTGAGAAACGAGGCAGGAACAAACAGCTCACTCCTTCTTATCCTAGAGCACATCTGAAAGAGCAAACACTTCAATGAATTCCTTCTAGGGTTGCTCCTAAATCTGTCCCTAGCACAGTTCCTGGAAAATAGCGAGATCTCTGCTCCCACAGGGCTCAGACAGATGGCCTCAGACTTCTCCTAACACCCACTTCCCGCAGGAGCAGCAGATGGGAGCTGTGCTACGAGCCACAGGGCAGGGTTACCTCCTGATGTGCCCAGGGATGCAGGCATTTCACACTGGGCTGCTGCTCCAAATCCAGCTTGAGCTCATAGCAGCTGGCCCTCAGCACTGAGGGTTGTTTGGTGCCCGGTAGGAGATGAGTGCTTGCACAGGAGCCCAGCAGACAAAGCTGGGATTGATTCAAGATGTAGAAAAAACAATCACCCTTTGCCTTCAGAAGCAGTACTTCCCACGCTGCACTGAGCGTTTTAAGGCGGGTTCTTACATGTCACTTTTACTTATGTACTGAAAACTAGGGTGCAGAGATGTCAGGTTGAATGTTAGGAAACATTTCTGCTCAGAAAGAGCAGTGATGCAGTGGCACAGCTGTCCAGGGAGGTGGTGGGGTCACCAGAGCCATAGAGATATGGCACTGAGGATGTGGGCAGTTGGGCACGGTGGAGTGATGAGCTGGGGATCTTGGAGGCCTTTCCCAACCTTAACAGTTCTGCATCATGTTGTACCTACCCCATTCCACATCTATTACACGACATTGTGGCAACATGAGCCAGGCCAGGATGTTTTACTCAAATAAATCCTGACTTATGTTTGATCTGGCATGCCATGCGTGTATATCAGGCCATAATCAAAGCTTTCAGTATCACCTGATCAGATAGAAAGAGGGATCGTACAGCATTCAGCCAAAAAACAATGTGTTGTTCTGCACATAAAAGCTGTCAGCTTAGCATACGTGAGAAACCTCAAGATCATGAGCACTGCTTCCTGACAATGATTCCTGGACCTTGCTATGTCAAAACAGAAATACCAGAATGATACTTAGAGTCACCAACCATCACTTGCTTTGCCTGCTGCCATGTAGCTAGCAGGTCATGCACACTTGTTTAGATGCATCTGCATAGAAATCCAAACTGCAAATAAAGAGCTGCAACAGAAGTTGTGGTTTTGTTATTACTGCTCATGACAGAGACTACATGAGAAAAACACTTTCCAGTTCAGATGGAGGAAATGGAAAGCACAAAGACTCCGCTTGCAGCTCAGCAGGGTGGATTTCTAATGAACTGCTTCTACCAAATAATTGAGAGATGAGGGAGCAGCATGGAGAGGTGCTTTCCGCACAAGAATGAAACTCAGAACACCGTTCTTGGGCTAGGCTACACAACCTAGGAATATTTTTTATCCTCCCCCCACTTGTGCTAAGTATTTTGCTTTCATTGTAAACACTTGACCTCTGCTTCTCAATCCTTCCCCTCAGTTACCTTCAGCTAATTCTTCCCCCTCCAAACAAAGAGCAGAGGCTTCCTGTCAGCTCTCCAGCATACCTGTGCCAGCAGTTCTGTCCATCTACAGACTTCCAGAGAGCACACAGAACCACCTTCATATCCACAGACAAAAGACTTCCAGAGCAGCTCTCAGCTCCTCCTGGATGGTAAAACTGCTGAACTCTCAGAGCAGATGGGTGGGAGCAGCCTGGATGTGGCCGAGCTTTTCCCATCTTGTAGTCAAGGAAAGGCCATGGATGTGCAGATACCACCTGCCTTGATTTCAGCCAAAAGAGAAGTCCATCCAGCTCCATTTTGCCTTTGTTGTTACCTCTTCTGACTTCTTCCTGACACACTGCATTACGACTGCTCAGCCATTGCTCCAACAGTGATGAGGGCTCGAGAGAAAGTTCACACATCCCTCAGAAGCTGAGATGAAAAACCACAGAAGTAATATGGAATGTTGCCACTACTGCACCTGGCAGCACAATCCACAGCTAAATGAGCTGTAAACTGTAAAAAGACTTATGCACTGCTTCTGTCTCCTTCACAATTTCACTGTATGAACAGGACTGTAGTGTGGTTAAATCCCCTGCATGGAAAGCAGCTCCTAGGCAGTTTGCTACGCACAGGTATTGCCTTTGGTCTTGGCTGTGTAAAGGAGCAGCAAGGGCAGAAGAAGCAGGAGGCAAGAAGGGATGTCACCAGCCAGGGTCCAGTTCCAGAGTGGGACAGGGCAGCTCCAGGAATCACCACCACATTCACCTAAGAGCCCTCAAGGTCACCAGGCAAGCTTGCAACGATGAGGCAAACCAGTAAAAGGCAAGTAATGAACCAGCCCTGGAGTCAGGATCAGGTCCAGCAGGTGCTGAGCAGCTCCAGAGAGGCCAGGTAGGGCTGAGATCACAAAGCCAGCTTCCAGATTGGGGTCAAGCTCAGCAGGATCCCATAGGCAGACAGGGCTGGGAGCAAGCCAGCCTCAGCACTGCTGCAACAACAGCAGAGAGTTCTGTGCTGAGTTTAAATAGGGCTCCTGGGCTGACTGCAAAGGGTGTGGATGGAGGCCCCCAGGTGAGGCTGCTCAGGGCTTTAAGGAGTATTGGTGCCCCAAACCCTGACATCTTGTAATACCCACAGCAAAGAGTAATTTGCAGTGATTCCTTCCAAGATGAGACTTGCACAGTACCAAAGGCTTTGGGGCTGCAGCCCCAGTGCTGCTTTCAGTGCCAGCACTGGCCCTCCTGGCTATGACTTCTGCTAAGCTGCTTCCCCTCTCCCCCCGAAGCTTGGCACTAAAAAGCAAACAAACAGCTCTGAGAGATACAGGATTTGCAGCCTGGTTTTCAGCAGGCTGGTGTCTCATGGGGGACCGACCTGGGTGCCTGGGAGGGCACAAACTCCCAGGGAAGTTTTTCCCACGGTTTGGACATCAATCAGATGTCAGCACTGTGCGGATTCTCTGGTGTCTAATAGGGGCTGGCAGCGTGAGTCGGTGTTTCTCACAGCTGCAGCCCTGGCAGGGTCACTCTTTACCCAACTGATTGCAAATGTAGGATCTGAGCTCCATACCTCTCTGCTGGGTTTGGGCTAAAAGTGGCCAAAGGGTTAAAGAGTTTTTAAAGAGAGGAATTTGGAAGAATGGGAATGCACTGATATACAGTGTGATTGCATAAACTCTGTTACGTTAGGAAATCAAAACAGTCAGCCCCTTTTTTTCCCCTAAACATGATAGAATTTATTATAGCTGCATTGTTCCCAGTGGTGCAAAAGCCCCCCTGTAGTTTTGCTCTGCAGAGAGCCACGCTGCAGGGCCTCATGCTGTTGCTTTGCCTTCAAGCCTGAGTGCATGAGAGACAGTGGGATCCTCTCATCCAATGTCTTTACAGAAAAGGGGTAGAAAACAGAGATGTGAGCTGCCTCAAAATGGCAGCAAGGATCATGGATGGGGCAGTTCGTGTTGTTGGGTTCACGCACTTTGGCTGCAGGGGCTCAGGTCCTGTTGATAACCCAGTGCTCCAGCCACAGGTTTGTGTCCCTCCACCCAAACTTCCCCCTGCTGCCTGCAAAACCCAGGCAGGAAAAGGCCTTTGGAATGCAAAACCTCCCTGAGCAGCCTCCATGCATCCTATCCCAATACCTGCCAGCCTCTTGGGGTGTGCATCAGCTGGGAACTGCAGGAGGGAATGACCCACTGCTGCTCCAGCAAGGCTGGGATTGCAGAATGCTTTGGAGCTGTGGTTTGAGCAACCGCTGACAGGATTTCACCATCAAATGCTGCTTTGCAAACCCACCGGGAGCCACGCTGTATCTCAGTCCTGACACGGCCTGACTCCTCTCAGCTATTCATCAAAAGAGGCTTCCTGCTCCCTAGCAGCCTGTTTGGAGTTCCTTGAGCTCTTCTTGCGGAGCAAAACAAGGCGTGCAGTGCTTTGTGCTTTCCCCATGCAATCCAAGCTGAGGTTGCCCCACTCACCCAGCACCGCCCTACAGGACCTCCATCAGCAATGCCAAAAATCAGCAAATCTGGGCGCACTGAAGGCACCGCTCTCTATTTGGAAGCACCCGTGGGGAGGGAGAGGAGCGAGACCTCATCGCAGCCTTACAGTACTTAAAAGGAGCTTAGGAAAAAGATGCAGAGTGGCTTTTCACATACTTCAATAGCGAAGGGACGGGGGGGGGGGACTGGAGGAGGGAGGTGAGGGGGGGGCTTTAAGCAAAATAGAAAGGAGATTCAGGTTAGGCACTCTTAGAAACTCTTCGCTCAGGGGGGCGGCGGTGCCCCATCCCTGGAGCTCGGCTGGCTCTCAGGGCCGGGGGCAGCCCGAGCTCAGCCGCCTCCTCCCGTAGAGCCGCTGCCGGCGGAGTCGGGCGGCACCTGCGGGCGGGTACCGCAACTGCAAGGCGACCCCGAGCCCCGCGGGGAGCTGGGCGGGTGGGAGCTGGGAGGGTGGGAGGCTTTTTTTTTCTCCATCCGCTTTTTTTTTTTTTTTTTTTTTTTCCCCTCCATCCGAAAGGCTCGAGAGAATCTCACAAAGTCGCAATCCCAAATGTTGGTGTGGGATTTCTGCAAATCCCGAATGCTGTAAAGCAGTTCCTGTGGACGCAGGAGGCTTTGCAGGAGTTTCAGGCTCCGAGTGCTAAAGCGAACCTGCTCTGAAACCTGCTCAGGCTGCAACAGGACATGCCCTGCTTTGGCCAAGAAGGGCCTTGGGCACATCTTCCCTGAGCAAACTCCTGTTCAGAGCGTGCTGGAGAGAGAAAAGCAGGAAAAATAGGAAAATCCAACAAGGAAGGTGTTGATATGGCAGCATATCCCCATGCAGGAGAAGAGCTCTGTGCTCTCAGATGCTGCTCGCATGGGATGGGGCCACATTCAGTGTTTGCAGCTCAGCAGCCACGTGTGAAGGCCCTGTTCTCAATGCTTCCCCCATGTAGCAGAGTGCACGTCTCAGGGATTGAGAGGCAGCGGTTCGACCATTTTCTCTCCCAGGGAAATGGGTTTTAATGAGGTTTTAAATAATAAAATGGGATATTTTTTCCCCACCTGGCGAGAGCATGAAATTTTTATGCCTCCTTTTCTCTCCCAAAGTTTTATCGTCCTTTATCTTTAGCAATGCATCATCCCCCTTTAATAAATAAATAAATAACAAAGGAATTCAGGGAAAATCACTCCGCTCCCAGCAGTCCCACGCACCCACAGAGCAGGGGTGCCTCCAGCTCCTTCCCTTCCCAGGGCATTTGGGGAAAGCCTCAGTGGGAGAGCAGAGGTGGAGCATTTCCCCCCTTGTGCCCCCATAGCACAGTGATGGTCTGGGTTCAGGATGCTGGGGGTGATGCTGGTGCTGGGTGTCAGTGCTTCGTGCTGCTTGGGGGTGCACAGTGCTGAGTGCTGGAGAAAGGCACTGGGTTCAGGATGCTGGTGTAGGGGGTCCCAGTGCCCTGTGCTGGCACAGGATGCCTGCATCGGGGTGCCAGTGCTGGATGCTGCTACAGGGCTCCGGGTGTGAGATATCAGTATGGGGTGTGCAGTGATGGGTTACAAAGGTGCTGGGTGCACAGGATCCTGTACCTGGTGCAGGATGCAGCTCGGGTTCGGGTGCTGGTACCGGTGCTGGCCGCACACACCGGACAGCGGCTGTAGGTGCCGGTGTAGGGCACGGGTGTGTGCGTGTGTGTGTGTGTGTGTGTGTGTGTGTGTGTTTTGACGTGAGGAAGTGCCAAAGCTGCAATTGCTTTAGGAAGTCAATCGCAGGGGCCGGGGGACGCGTGCGCAGTGCAGCCGCTCCGCTCCGCTCCGCTCCCGCTGCCTCTCCCTCTCCCTCCGGTGCCGAACCCGGGGGCAGCGCACGGGCGGCGGCCGTGGGCACGGGGCAGCGGACGGCGCTGCTCGACGGCGCGGATGCCCGACCCGTGAGTAACCCACGGCCCGGCCCGGGGGATGACGGGGGCTGGGACGGAGGTGGGGGGGGGGGGGGGGGGGACGACGACGACACGGACCCGCCACCCCCGTGCATTGCCCGGCCCACCCCCCCTGCAGGCTGCGGCCGGACCCCTTTTGCATCCCCATCCTTGTAACGCTCCCCCCGCCGCCCCTCCGTGCGCGCTCCCCCCTGCACGCACCCCCCTTTTGCATGATCCCCCCTTTCTCCATGATTCCCCTCTTCTCCATGACCGTCCACCCTCCCNNNNCACCCATTTCCCACGCATCTCCCCCTTTCCGTGCATCCTCCCCTTTTCCTCCTCCCCTCTCCGGGCACATACACTGAGCACCGCGGGGCGCTGATGGAGAGGGAGGGCTGCGTCCGTGTGTCCGTCCGTGTGTCACCGCCTGTCACCGGCCCCGTGCGCGAGGGGGGACAGCGCGATGCTCCGCGGGGCGGGGGCACGGAGCGCACCGGGCCTGGGTGGGGGTAGGGGGGGTTCCCCTCTTGTCCCCTTCCTCCCTCTCGCCCCCGGAGAGAGCCAAGCCCCTGCGAGGAGGAGGAGGATGGAGGAGGAAGGAGGAAGGCGGGGGCCCCCTCCCGTCGCAGGGATGGCTGCACTGGGTTTTGCCCAACCCAGGGGGAGGGTTGCTTTGGGGTCACCCCCCAGGACCCTCTCTGCACCCACAGAGGTGTGCAGTGCTGGAGCATCCTCTGTGGGATGTGGGGTTCTGTGCGTGCTTCCTGCAGCCAGGGGTGCTGTACCCCACCAGCAGCACTGACCTCGCTGTGGCATGGGGAGGTTGGCTGAGGTCAGGGCGAGCCTGAGTTCCAGTCACCATCGGGTCCTCCAGCACCAGGCAGGGGGACCTGGTGACCAGGGGACTTAGTGACCAGAGGACCCAGTGACCGGGATGTGGTTCCCCCATAGGGACATGACATCTATCTGTCACCCAACACGAGCCCATCACGTGGGCTTGGCAGCTTGGCCAGAGGATGGAGAGGGCCGACCGCATCCCTGGGCACAACGAGGATCCCCTGGGAAGCTCCTTCCCTCCTTCCCTCCCCATGAGGCTGCTCTGGCGCGGATCCATGGCCTTATTTAAGAAACTCAACAAAAAGTGTTAAGTGAGTGGGAGGGATTTCCCTGCTGCAAGAAGATTTGGTTCCCCTCTGGATGCAGCTTCATCATCCCGGACAGGATTGGTGCTCACAGTGCCTGCTGTCCCGGTGGATGTGTTGTGCATAGGGTTGCCCCAGTGGGCATGTACCTCAGGATACATCCCAGGGGACAGCGCCACATCAGATTTCCCTACAAGGATTTCAGCTCCTCCGCCTCAGCCCTTCCCCACAAATGACTCAAAGCCTCTAATCAAAATACAGTCGTGTTCTTCGGCAATTAAACAAACTCTACCTCATAAGATTATAGTGGGGAAGCAGGGGTTTGGTGACTCGGATATGCATCAGTCGGGGTCTGTGCGCCCGTTTTGATATCGTTATTTAAAATAAAATGAAAGGAACCAAAAGGAGATAATCTGATCGTGCCACTCCAACCCAGAGAGAGAAAGGGAAAAGAATACCCTGGCAGAGTAATTCATGCTTAGCTGCCCGAGGTGTGGGAGCAGCACATCTCCACTGCCTCCCAAAGTGCATCTCTCCTCTCTTTGCCACATGCTCACTGTGAGGCTGGAACTGCAGCACCCTGAGCTCTGCTGGGCCCATGCAAAGAGCGCGGGGCAGCGCTGCGTTCTGCTCTACCTCCAGGAGCAGCACCATGAGCATCTTTGGAGCAGAAGCTCCACAAGCTCTGCAGAGCCCCTCCTGCCACGGCGGTCTTTCATTTTCCCCAAGTTTGTATCCTCTGGAGAAAATTCCTTTGGAAACTCAGCTCTGGGGGAGGTATGCTCACCACGCTGGGTTCTGCTCCATCCCTCAGCCATGCTGGTGGGGGTCTGTGCTCCCCCTGGGTGGTTTCTTGCAGTGAGCCCCTGCTGTGCACCCACACCCCAGCAATAGGGCTGTTAGTGGGGTGCAGTGCTGTGCTGGGATCGTGGCCGCTTCCGGGTTGCCCCGTGCCCACCACTGCTTCCTATTACTCAGTTCCTTCTTCATCTCTGCACGTCTCTGCATTTCCATTGCAAAGGCTGTTTGGAGGGGGTGGGTCTAAAACCATTTGGTTCTGTGTGTTATTTAATAGCTACTTCTCAATTCGAGGGGGAGAAATTGGATGTTGCTCCCAGTTCTCGCAATGATTCTCACCCAACGGAGAGGAGAGGACAGTGTATGGCGTCCCACACTGCTGCAGGAGGGGAAGGTGCTGAGCTCTCACGCTGTTGCAGCCCGGAGCTGGCAGCTGCTCCATGGGGGACGTCACCATCCCCACTCCAGTTCCGTGGCACTCAGCCTTGTGGGCATCTCGTCCAGTGCTGGGCATTCCATCAGCTCTCCCGGCACGTTTCCAGTAGTGCCCAGTTCATTCATTCCCCTCTGCTTCACCAAGTGCTGGCCATATCACAGTCCCTCGTGTTCCCTTCCCTACCATCACCGATGGGCACTGGAGCAGTGCTGATCTGCCTGTTCTCCTCCATGCTCTCTCCCTGCAATCCAAGCCCAGCCAGCTCTATGCACTCATGCATTTTGCTGGTGAGCTCTGTTGTAGCGAGCGCGTTTCCAACAGGCTGTAGTGGGGCTGCTCCCTGTGCTGCTTTGGTTGCTCAGAAAGTCTCCGATCCCTTGCAGCGATGGCAGCACAGAGCTGCCTTCTCAAGACCTCCTGCAGGGATGGGATGGCTTCATTCCAGCTGTGCATGCATTGCTGCAGCTGCAGGGCTGGTGCGTGGCTGGGGGCAGCTGTGTCCATGCCATCCCCTGTGCCAGCAGCTGGGCACCAGAAGACACGGTGTTTGGTGGCTTTGGGATACAGCTACAGCTCAGACCAAAGCCAGGCTCATGCTGCACCCAAGGAAATGGGGAGGGACACAAGGGGCAGCCCCAGAGCTGCTCCTATCCCACACCGTGTCCTGCATTTAGTTTAGCCCCAGGGAAGGTGGAGCAGCAATAGAAAGGAGAACATCGGAATCCATTGGGGTTCAGCATCAATATTCATCTCAGGTATGGAAAAAAGGGGGGTTTCCTGACAGCAGGAAAACGTAGGGTAGAATTTCCAAACAAGCTACACTTCCAGTTCTCTGAGCAGCCCTGGAAATGGCCTCACCTGCTTTGTGCTGAGCTGCTGGGGGCTCTTTACACAGACAGTGAGGATTTCTGGGTTTGCGGATGGGGCTCCATATAGAAGGAAGCCAGCAAAGTGCTTGGGATGCAGGGTTTGGGTTTTCCCCTTGCCCTCCCTCCTTTCTCCTGTGTGAACCCGCCGGGGGCTCCTGCAGAAGCCAAATGCCCACGCGGCGGTTCAGTGCAAAGGGCAGGAGAAGAGCAAACAGGTGCAGCAACCCCGGAAAAGGAAGGGAAAGCTTTGTGCCGGCCTCACCAAACAAGAAAAAATAATAATGAGGAATAGCAATGCTTTGGGGCGGCGTGGGACACCGTGCTGCATGCTGTGCCCATGGCACAGGGGCCATGCACGGTGACAGCACTTCCTTCCTCTGTGCCACCAGCTCCTCCCTGCATGGCTGAGCCGAACCCTGCAGACTTTGTTCCCCTTTGGTTGAGTTTTAAATAACCCATGGGTCTGTGTCAGTGCTCCTCAGTGCTCATCACAGCCGGGACAGTGCAGAGCATCCCTGTGGTGCTGACTGATGTGTGTCCCCCAGGGGCTGTACTGGGGATGGTGCAGCAGAGGGGATGCCGTGCCCACCAGCGTGGGCACCTGTCCTGGGCTCTGCCTGCAACCTGATCCTGAAAAGCTCCAATCTGGGCTGGCAGTGTGCAGTGCCTTCGTGCTCACATAGGTGGGCACACAGCTCTGTGTGCAGCACTGGGGGCTCCAGGTGCTGCGTTTGGTCTCATCCTGGGGCTGGGCAGGAAATCACCCTCTGGCTGCATGGAGCCGCCCTTTGACCCAGCACCTCCCTGGGATGCAGAGGGTTTCCATTCACCTCGATGTGGTTGTTTGTTCCCTTTCCTTGGAAAAGACAATGCCCCATCTCTGTGCCCTTGGCTCTCTGAGGCTCCACAGCCCCAATCACCGTGGGTTCCCATTGCTGAGGAGGCCATGAGCCCCACACATGGGTGCCACCTGCATCCATGTGCAGAGACTCTTCTGCCTCTCACCAGGATGCACCTGACATGAGCAAAAGTGCTCCGTATTCTCCATCAGTGGAGGGATTTAGCATCCAAAAGTGGGATTTTTGGTGCACGCCATCGGTGCTGGGGTCAGGGATGCTCAGCAAAGGGATGCACAGCTGCAGAACTTCTCAGGGACCACTCCAGATGCAAACCACGGCCTGAGCAGCAGCACAGCAAGGCTTCATCCCTTCCTTCCCTTCCTTCCCTCTCCCCGTGTGCCCGCTGCTTGCCCCATGCCTCTGCCCAGTATTGATCCCCACGATCTTTCTCCTTTCGCATGGATCATTACCAAATGCTTAATGGGAGTCTGCCTTAACAACGCCACGATACCTCCACTAATAGAAACATAATTGTCAGGGTTTGCCTTATTAAATCCCCCAGCTGATTGGCGCGGGTGCTATTTCTGGGCTCTGAAATAATTAACCACGTTTCTGTGCGAGAGCCGGGGCTGAGGGGACGGTGCTGGCAGCATTGTGCCCGCAGGGCTGGGGCAGAGCTGTGGGATTTGGGGATGGGGGGCTATGGGGAGTGTGGTGGGAGCTTTGGGGTGTTGAGGTGGGCAGCTGTGGGGGTGTTTGGTGGCAGCTTTGGGATGTTTGGTGGGGAGCTATTGGGATATTGGGAGTTTTTGGGGTGTGCGGTGAGGAGTTTTGGGGATGTGCGATGGGGTTTGGCTCAGTACAGGAGCACCCAGTGCTGGGGACTGGGGCTGATAAAGAAATCACTGCAGGATTTCCAGAGACATCTGCTCCCCGCCACCACCTCTGCAGGGTGCAGGGGCATTTTGTGGGCACGCTCAGGGCAGGTGCAGGGCTGCACATCACCACCTCTTTGGTTCCCACGTGGCCGAGGTGTCCCAGATCAGGCTGTGGTCCCAGGCACCGCTGTCACTGCCGTGCTGACAGCATGGGGGTCAGCCTTACCCCGTGCCCACAGGCACCATCCCAGTGCTGGAGCTCGAGCCTCACCTTTTGAGTCCCTTCTAATTGCTGAAGTGGGAGGGAAAAAAAAAAAAAAAAAGAGAAAAAGCAGTCTAAGAATAGCTCCCAAAACTTCCTGTGCACCAGCAGGTGTCTGGGGCGCACTGCGGGGCGGGGGCAGCTGCGGGGCCAGGCTGTGCCCTTGGGGCAAACCCAGAGGGTGTGGGGGGTCCCTGCCAAGGAGCAGAGCTGCCAAAGCATGGGGGTTTTGCACAGGGCTTGGGGAGTTCCCCTGTGGCTGTGTGGGCTCAGTGCTGGGACAGCAGCGGTGCAGCCGCGTTGGGTTTTGGGTGCTGGTGTGCACGGCGTTGGGATTTTGGTGGGTTTTTTGTTGATGGGAGCATGCTGCATCTCCCAGCTCTCGCTCTGTGCTCCCTGTGCTGCAGTCGGAGCAGTGACCGCCGGTGTCTGTGCCTTTGTTGCAGCCCCGCGGGCAAATTCAATCAAGGAAGCTGAGGTTGCACGGCCGATTTTTCTCTCACATGTTGCTTTTGTTTGTGAGTCACTCTCAGCCGAGAGAGCTCAGCCCCACACTGCATGGCAGCAGGTGGGTGCAGACCTACTCTGCAGTGACACTGCTGGGAGGCACTGTGTCCATGGGGCTTTGGTTCGTTTCACCCCAATCCAGAGCCTCGCCACTCGCTGCCCAATTCCTCCCCCGCGGGTGATGCTCCAAAAAATCCTGGGGCACCACATGTTGGCACCGTCCCTCTGGATGGATCCTTGCATTGCTCAGGGTATGATGCCGCAATGGCCACTTCCTTGGTTCTATGGGTTCCTCTGGTGCTGGCGTGCCCTCGGTGTCCCCATGTTACCCCAGATGTCTCCATCCTGCCCTGGAGAGCCGTGTCCCCACACTGCAGGAGAGATGCGGCACCCGCGGCTCTCAGCCGGGCAGAGCAGCGTGGCCTTGGCGGGGCTTTCCCAAAAAAGGTCTGAACTCTTCAGTTGAGTTTGCCACTTCCCTTACCACTCCCTTTCCTGTGAGAGGATGTGTTCGGCTTCTTTTCTTTTCTCTCTCTTTCTTCTTTTCCCTCCCGGCTCCCTGGCCGGCCAACGCTGCGCACCGTGAGCTGGGTGCTGACGGCGTGGCCATGGCTGGAATAGCACAGGTACGGGTGTGGGGATGGACCCGGCGCTGCCTGAGACATCCATGGTGTTTGGTGGATGCTGCAATCCAGCAGCCACTCCGGGGAAGGGGTCGTTTCCCTTCCAAAGTAATTTTGGGGAGCATCCCCCATGGCCGGCTGCATGGGGGCGCGGGGCGGTGATGTGCACTGGGGTGGCACAGCCCCATCCCTGTCACCTCCGTGCCACGATCGGATGGGGAGAGCTCAGTTGGGGACGTTGTGGGTGTGGGAACTGGCACAGCATGGCACGGGGGTGCCCGGAATTTGGGAACTCCGAGGCCGTGTGCTGCAGCTACGTCACCGAGTGTGGGGCAGCACCGCAGGGCGCTGGGGCTGGGTGGGGGCTATGGGGCTGTCTTGTGTCTGTGTTTGGGAAACATCCCCTGTCCTCCACCTTCCTCTTTTTGCAGTCTTCTGCACACCCACACCTCCCCATGGGCTCTGGCTCTGTGCAGTTCTGCTTCCTGATCTGCTGTCCCAGTGGCCCCAGCATGGTGGGACAGCACTGCAGCACTGCCACGCTCCATCCCCATGTCCCCATCCCTTGGCCACTCTGTGCTCTGTGCTCCAGTGCTGCATTCAGTGCAGTGGGATGCAGCAGGAGGGGGTCCCAGCACAGTTCCTTTGTGTTTTCCTCCTTCTCACATCATTGCTGTAATGAACCCCTCAGACCAACGGGCCACCGGGGTTTGTTGTGGGATTTTGCTGCCTGTGCAGCCATTGAGAATGAGGTTGGTTGGAACAGGGGAAGCAATAAAAAAAAAAGGGAAAAATGAGAATTCTGCAGTCACCTGCCAACAGTGCTGTCTGAGGGCGCAGAGCTGCTGCCGAGCGGGGTGACAAGGTCACAGCCATCCTGCCAGCACTCGAGGCTATAAATAGGGACAATTGGGAGAGAAGCACAGACTCTCTCCTTTTTAGTTCCTGCAGGAGCACAGAGAACCAGCAGGAGGGCTTCAGGGGCTGGGGAGAGGAGCTTGCAGCAGGCGACTGCAGCCCCCAGTCCTTGTGCCTGTGGTGCATGGCTCCAAGCCTCTGCCACCAGCATCCCCTGCCCTGCTGGGATGCACATCCCAGGTCCTGGCTCTGCAGCAGGATGCTGGCCTGGGGCAATGGGACATGAAGCATTCCAACTGCAGGTGGGGAATAGGGCAGGTGCAGTCGGTGCCATTAAGCTGTACCGAGCTCAGGCCCTGGCCAACACTTGGCACAGAGTTTGGGGGTAGCGCTGGGAGTTGAGAACTTCCCCCGTTTCCTTCCACTCACATGATGCCGTGGAGCGGGTCTGACTTCCCTATCCTGGACCTAAATGCCTTCATGGTGCTTGGCTGTGACACAGGGCACAGCTGTGCGAGGCTGAGACCTGACCATGGACTGTACCTAAAGCCTGCAGGGCAGAGCTGGGATGTGGGGCATCCAGCATGGGGCAGGCAGCCCCCAGGCAGTGGGGGGATCCTATGAGCGCCACATGCAGGAGGGCTATCACACAGCCAGCAAAGCAAGAGCAGGGGCAGAGAGCAGTGTGGGGCAGCCCGCTATGCCCTCCCCTCCTTTCCTTCTCACTTCCTTTTCTTGCACCAATGTCTGCCTGCATTGCCCCAGCCTGCACAGGGCTCTTCTCAGCATGACACAGCCCTTCGCCAGCTGCTCCCACGCAGGTTCCATGCTCACCATGGGGGTAACATGGTGCCACTCCACTTGCTTGTTGCAGGCTCCAGCCGTGTGGCTGCAGGGACGCTAACCGGGCTGCTCGGGTCACCCGCGGCCTGGGAGCAGCAGCGAGCAGCAGAAGAGCCCCTGGAGCACGACCCACCAACGGCCACCGTGTATGAGGCTGGGACGCAGGTGAGGTGGAAATAGGGCTGGGGGGAGTGTAGGAGTGAGGGGGGGCAAAATATATCACTGCAAGCCACAGCGCAGGGGTCCCTCGGTCACCTCTGAGTGGTGGGGAGAGGAGGACGCATGGGGACAGTGTGTCACCCAGAGCTGAGGGTTGCTGACCACCTGCTTGCAGCAGGAGTGACCTCAGCCCCTTGGATGCCACTTGGACCCAAATGCTGCTTTTTGAGGTGAGGGGAAGCAGGGTGGTCGCCTGCCCACAGCTCACCCCCTCCCCGTCGTGCCCTCCTGCCTTGCAGTACGCAGGACCTGCGTCCGCAGAGCCACCCCTTCCGATGTCCCGGCATGAGACTTCTCCGACAACGGTGCAACCCGCCAGCAACCACCGCCCCAACGCCTGCTGCTTCTGCTGGTGCTGCTGCTGCAGTTGTTCATGGTAAGCACGGGTCGTGCGAGCAGCACTTTGGTCCTCCATGGCTGGTTCAGCACCGAGGTGTGGGTGCAGCCGGAGCTGCAGGGATGGGGTCCCTTTGGACACAGCACCACGGGCAGCGGTGCAGGAGCGCAACGGGGATGGAGCCGTTCCCACTCACCTCGTCTCAGGGGTGCCCATGTGCTTTGTGCTCAGTCAGCAGCCAAAAGCCAAAGACGTGCTGCAATTAGACAGGTTGTGAGCGATATTCGTGCAAGGGGTTTGCACACAGTGCTTTGCAAAGGAATGTTTTGGGGGTGGGTGTCAGCACCAGTGCAGGTGCATGGGGCTACGTGCATTGCTATTCTCCCGATGGATCCCCGTGAGTTCACCCTGCTGAGCTCCAGTTCACCACAGCTCCTTCCCTTCAGCCAAGTCGTTAGAAATATATAGAGCAGAAAGCAGTATTGGGCTGGGAACCCTCATCCTGTGCTGCATCGATGGCTCTGCTGGGGCTGCACGTGGGAGCAGCACAGCCAGAGGCCATCCCAAGCCCAGGGCAGCAGCAGGACTGCCGTGCACAGCACTGTGCAGAGCTGAGCCCTGCTCCCTGCATTGCCTGAAGCTATCGCCAGCTGCTCACCTCCATCTGCATCCCAGCTAACCAGGTTTTAGAGAGCTAACCTGCTCACAGCATCAGCCCATTGTGAGATTGCTGACAGCTTTGTGTGCCACAGCAGCGTTGGGTTTTGCAGCCACTGACAGCATTGAGCCCGGAGGAGCATCCAAACCTGGAGCTGAGCCCCTTTCAAACCCGTGGACCAACCACAGCACTGATGCATCATCACTGTGCAAGGCCCTGCTTTTGGGGCCCCATTCTCCTGATCCAGCTTTGTTTCCTCAAATGCAACAAGGACTGAGAGCAGCGCAACACCCACCCATGTCCCACCTTGGCATCTGCAGGAGCTTGGGAGCAGAAGCAAATGAGGATGTTGCAAGGCGCTCCCAGACTCGGGGGCATCAGACACTGAGCCCTGTGGCACAGCACAGGCAGGGATGTGCCCACCCCAGCTGCTGCTCTCAGGGTTAAACCCGGGATTGCAGCCAGAGGCAGTGTTGCAAGCAGGAAGCGCTGCGGTCGGCGCCCAGCTCCGAAATTGGTGGGCTGGGGGAAGTTGGCTGGAGGCCGCTTTCCTCTTGCAGCACAGGGCTGAGGATGGGGGGAGCAGGGGACATCGGTGCCACGGTGGTTGCCTGCAGGCAGTGCTGGTGCTGGGCATCGTGGCCACACCACAGTGCAGCGTCCATCACTTTATCTTTCAAATTCTATCCCGGCCGCCTGCTTCCTGCGTGGGCTGAGCCCTGCTGGCAGCAGGAGGAGGCGATAGCACAGCATGGTGCCCTGCAGCAATGCATTGGTGCTGGGTTGCACGGTGCACACTGGCCATGGTGCCTGGTGCCTGGCACAGCCGTGCCCTGAGCGCAGGAAACATCACCGCACGGTCAGGGCAGAATTGCACAAAGGAAGGGAAGGAGCAGAGGTGTGGGATGTGGGTGCCCACGGTTGGAATTTGGTGGGCAGGAGGTAGCGGGGTCAAGGTGAGGTGGGGCTGCAGCCCCATGCCCTGCTGCCCATTACTACCTTTCCATCTCCCTGTTAGGAACGAGGACCGGGAGCGAGCGTGGAGGGCATCCCGGGAGACCAAACTGGAGACCATCCCAAACTGTGAAGCGTGGTGAGTGTGGGGACAACGTGTGCATGGTACAGCATCTCATCATGGCACAGGGAGCCATTCACCAAGCTCCCTGTCTGCAGGGACACGTGGGGGCACCTGCACCGGGCATCCACTGCCTTGGAAATAAGACAGAGCTGCCTGCACACAGCCTGGCCATGGCTGCTCTGCTGGTGCCAGGGATCAGATGCATTAATTAGTGGTAATGATGGCTCCTGCCTTGCTTTAGTAATTAGGATCTTGCTCCCCCAGCTGTCAGTGCTGGTGCACGGACCTGCCAGCAGTGCAGCTCAGCATGGGAAGGGGTTTTGCGCCCTCCTGGGTTTGCGCAGAGCTGGCAGCAAAATATGTCCCCTTTTAGGGAATTCAGCTTCAACCCAGCCCATGGTGTGGCCTGGCTGAGCAGAGCCAGGATAAACCCCATGCGCACTTCTGGAGATCTCCAGGAGCTCCATAATGAACAGAGCCTGAGCAGGAGCACGAGCACAGGGGATGTGTTTGGGAGCAGTCCCTCTGGGATGGCTCAGAGCTGGGATCATCCCTGCGCAATCCCTGTTCTGGGGGATGGATACAACAGAGAAAACCCAGCCCTATCCCATCCCAGATTGAGCATCCCTCTCCAGTTGTAACGCCTTCCCTTTGCCTCCCACCCCACTGACCCCACAGCTCCAAACCCACCACGGAGGAGGTGCGGGGCTGGGCGCAGTCCTTTGACAAGCTGATGAAGAGCCCAGCTGGTCGCAACGTCTTCCGGGAGTTCTTGAGGACTGAGTACAGTGAGGAGAACATGCTCTTCTGGCTGGCGTGCGAGGAGCTCAAAACCGAGTGCAACAAACACACCATCGATGAGAAGGCCAGGACCATCTATGAGGACTACATCTCCATCCTCTCGCCCAAGGAGGTACGTGGCACAAATGCTCTGGGAAGGTTTTGGCCACTTCTGTTGATTAAGAGGAGGTTTGAGGGGAGGTTCTCAGGGAAAGGGCACCCAGGTGCACCGGTGTTGTGGGTACCGGGGGGATGGTCACAGCGCTACGTCCCTAAATCCAACGGGAGGCATCGGGAGGGTGTTTGTGCCCAGCGGCGTCCCCGTCTCACGTCTGTGTCCCCAAATCTCCTCGCGTGGCCGCGCCGGTGTTGTGCTGCGGGGTCGAAACCTCACGAGGGCACCATCGTGCCGAGGAGATGCGGCTGCAGGGGACACCCCAACCCCGCTCCCTGCGCACAGCCCGAGGCCGCGGGGATGGGATGAGCTCCTGCTGCTCCCCTACGCGGAGCGGTGCGAACCCCCGCGAGCCCCACCTCATCCCTCGTTTGGGACCCGATTTTCTGCCCTCTGGCTCATCGCTGGGTTCCCCCCTCTGGCCGTGGCACCGCGCCGGGTCCCGACGCTCCGCTCAGCTCCGCGGGTCATCCTTCGTCCCCGTCCTGCGGGGCTGCGCCCGGGGTTGGGGGCTCATCGCTGGGGTCCCACAGCCCTCATTTCTCGTCCAGGTGAGCCTGGACTCGCGGGTGCGGGAGGTGATCAACAGGAAGATGCAGGAGCCGTCCTCGCACACATTCGACGACGCTCAGCTCCAGATCTACACGCTGATGCACAGAGACTCCTACCCTCGCTTCCTGAACTCTGCCATATACAAATCGCTGCTCCAGAACGTCTCCCGCTCCTCCTCGGAGTCCTAAAGGCCGTGGGGACACCGGCGGGGGACGCGGCACCAGGAAGGGGGTGGGGAGGGGTGGGGGAGGCACGGCCCGGCTCTTCTTCACCCCCCCGTTTTTAGCTTTTTACCTGTGAGCCCTCGGTCTCAGGGCCACCCCCAGGGCCGTCCCCGGGGTGGGGGCACCGCGGCGGCTCAACTTGGGCTCGTACTACTGAACCCCGTCCCGACCGGAGGCAGCAGGGGGTGCCGAGGGCTCAGTGCCCACCCCCCACCCCCCCCGGCTGCACCGCACCCACTTTCGAAGAGGTCACTTTATCCCTTCTCCATCGCACCTGGGGATGCAGCACATCCCCAATTCCCACCTGAGACCCCTTTGGGGGACTTGTTTTGTTCTGTGGGTTGTTTGGTTGTTGTTTTTTTTGGGGGGGAGGGGGTAGGGAGGAGGTCAATTGTTTTTTTGTTTGGTTTTTTAACTCTTTATTTTAAAAGGTTTTTTTTTTTTTTTGGTTGGCTTTCATTGGGGGAAGTGGGGAGGGAGGGGGGTGTTGATGAGCGTCTGTTGTACATATAAAAACACCTCGGGTTTACATCGCTCTGTCTGTTTGAAGCAGCACAGGGAGGGGAGCAGCCCCAGCAGATCTAGGGGACACCCCCAGACCCCAGGCAGCCCCCACTGCTACAACAGGGAGATGCTGTGGAGCAGAGGGAGGCAGCCCCCCAACACAGCCCAGATCTGGGAGGCCCCAGTCCCAACCAGTCAGCAGCAGCAGCACTGGACCATGCACTCATCACCCCAAACACAAGAGCATCCTGCATCCTTGGTGCAGGAAGCCCTGGGAGAACATCAGTGTGGGTTGCACAGGCACCAGGACCTCCAAAAGGAAAGGTTTTCAGCTGGACTGTACCTTCCTCAGCACAGCTCTGCCCTCATCCTGCAAGAGGAGCTTGGCACTGAGCACCCAGGCAGGGCTCTGTGTGCAATGGGAAATGTCACAGGGAAAAGATATATCATATCTGTGTATTTTTGTATGGCACGAGGACTTGTTTACCAGAGGCCCAGCTTCCAGCACTGCAGCATTTCTGCCAGCAGCCCCTGCCCTTGTGCTGACACAGAGCCAACACTGTGGCCCCAGCAGCCACAGAGCCTTTGGGAAGTTCTGGAAGGGCTCTGGTACAGAACAGCCCGTGGCTTCACATCCACCCCCTTCAGAAAAAAGAGCATCGGTTCTTTTTATTGAAGATATTTTTTAAGCAAACAAACTCTCAGCTCTTTTTTCTTGTTTGTTTCCTTCCTTCCTCATGGCGTGATTGAGTGGAAATTCGTGTCAGTAAATTTAGTTTCTGTTTGCCAAGCTGGAAATACAACTCAAGAAAATGTATTTTTGAGAGAGAGCAGAGCTGGTTTGTTTGCTCAGGAATGTTGGTATTTTTATTATTTGATTCTTAGTGCTCCGAGAGCCCCTTGCAGACCCAGTGGGTCAGACAAGCTCCCACAGCAGGGGCTCCCATCCTGTTCCAAGAAGCCATTAAGAACCAAGAGAGCATTTCTGATGGATACAAAAGCAGCAAAGCAACAGCTCCACTGCCCAGGGCACTCCCCCTGCTTGTACGTCGAGTGATGGAAGTGTGACAGTGCTAATGACTGATGCTAACCAGTAACTCGGCAGCAGGAGGCCTGGCACAGAGGTGCAGCACGCTGGTTTCCCTACAGGCACTGAGCAGAGCCAGCAGTGTGATAGGCCCCCAGCACCACACCCTGCATTACAGAGATCTTACCTTCATGTTTGGGTTTGCAGAGCATCCCCAATGCTGTCCAGGAGCACAGCAGGCAGGTTGGATCTTCCACCAAGGTGCCAGCCCCACACAGATCCAATACCACCAGGTAAGCTGTGTCAAAACTTGCTCACCATCCTAGCACTTAAGCATCCTGTCAGTCAATCTCCATCCCTCTTTATCCCATGGCTTTCCACCCTCTGACTGCCCCAGAAGCACAGCAGAATGCCACGAGACAAGGTGCTACCCTCTAGCTTTTGAGGAGCTCCTTCTGTTTCTTAATCTCCATATGTAAATTTAGGATTGCACTCAGGCTCCACTCCTCTTCTTACATTAATACAAGAAAAGCAACAGCAACTGGTAATTAGCTGGCTCCTGTTCACAGTGCACGAGCCAGAGTGCCTTGGCCAGCTTTGGTTTTATATCCTGAAGGGTTTTTTAAGCATTACTGTGAGGACACTGTTCCCTCACAAGCCTGGCTTGAATAATCCCATCCGCTGCAAGATGCGTGAGGCTTAACAAGTTGTCAGCATCTTTGAATCTTTTCCTTCTTGGGAGACTTGGCTGCACCCCATCAAGTGAAAGCCTTGAGCAAAAGATCCTGTTGGGATCACTGCCTCGAGTGGAACACAGCTCTCAAAGGGGCTGCAAGCACGTTTCCCATCGCTTTCATGTGGCTGCTTACTCCCCTCCCAACATCTCCAAGGTCTCTGCTAAATGTCTGCTGTCTGGCATGCTGAAAAGCCAATGGAAATACTTGCTTTTTCACTCTGAAATAGGGGAGCAATGCTACTGATGTGACTGCAAATGCCCCCGTACTGCTTACGAGCACAACAGTAGAAGTGACCACAGAGGGGGGTCCCTGGAATGCTATATCACCTCAGTTAGAAGCTAGGAAACCCAGGAGAGAAGAGGGATTTTAAGTCTTAGACCAAGATCAAACACTACCAAAAGGAAAAGCAGGCTACAGTTATCCTCCCACCAACAGCCTGATCCTGCAGGTCCCCACCAACAAGGTCACATCTCCAGAGCTGGCACCTGAAGCTTGCTTTTGCTACCAGCTTTCTTCATCTCACACCCCTTGCAAGCACCAGCTACAAGCTCACCTCAAACATTCCCCACAATGGGGATCAGGAGCAGACAGTCAAGGGGAGCAGCTCAGCCAGCAGAAACAGCAACAATCTCCTGGGCTCTTCCTGCCCAACTAGATGTTAAGGAATCTCTTGGCTGTTAGGGTCTCCTTGCCCTGCTCCTCCAAACCAACCACTTGGTTTTTCTGATGGCTGGAGTCACCTAGTTTTCAGTCTGTCATAATGTGGAGAGCAACATTCTCGATATCATCTCTGCAGCAGCCTGTGCTGTTGGCATTTAAAGGCACGATATCACAAGCTATTTAATACCATGCAAAAATCACAAGAATGCAACGTCCAACTGATCTGGACAGCTGCATGTCATCACTGCCCAAAAAGTTCTATTCTACCAACAGGCCTCAGTCAGGTAAGGAGAGCCAGGACTGCCAGCCAGCCACTCCAGGATTTGGCCCAATGTTTTAGCTTTTAAGAGCTGGGCTAGAAGCAAGCTTTCACACACTGAGGGTCTATCTACAAGCAGCTTTATGCTGTCTCATGACCCAGGTATGGATCAGTCAACACTGATCCAGATACTGTTCTGAGCCTCTATGCAGCTCTACAACAAATGCAAAGTCCACACACAGTTCAAATAAAAGTCAGAAACTGACAAAAATGTTTAATATTAGTTTTGAAGAAAAAGTGACCATACTTGCTTAGATGAGAAAATAATGACTAAGTGTGTTTAGTGAGCTCTCCTGCCACTGTCAGCCCACAACTGTGGCTCCACCGAGGCCCAAACAGAGAGGCAGGCCTCCCTGCAGCTGCTCTCTCAGTACGTGACAAGGCAAACTCACTTGGGACACAATACACAATTGCCGTGGGAGCTGGCGTATGGAGGTTGCACTCAGATCTGTGTTTGGCTGCCGCTCTTGGGCCATGGCACATATCAGCAGAACTGCAAGAGAAGGGAGTTTAAACCCTGATTAGAAAACTTCACTAAGGGAGTTGCAGGTCAAGCGCTTGCTGCCTAGAAGATAGGGATCCAGGTGACGGTCTTGTTTCTGAAGCTGGCAAGGGCTTGGGGGTTCTTTGGAGGCAGGGCTCAGCCCCCACAGTAAGGGCTAAATAGAGCTCCTACTTGAATTTCTCAGCTGTGGCTCTGGCACTCTGTAGCAGTGCCATTTCTGCTCACATCCGAGCTCTGCACACAGTATAAAAGCAGTTTGAAAATCCTACATAATGTCATCGCCACCATCTCTTGGGTGGCAGAGGGAGCATGAAAAGCACTGTGAAGTTGGTCATGGCAGAAGAGGGAATGTGAGGAAGGAGAGAGGGAATGAGAAGTGAGACATAGCCCCAGCTGGTCTGCAGAGATGGGATGAACCCAGGAGCTCTCGCCTCTGTGCTGGGAGGAAAGATCACTCGCTAGAGCTAGTCAGCATTTGGCAAGCACATCTGAGGAGAGCAGCTAAGCATCTGCAGCATCGTGGGTAGAGCTACCCTAACACCCCTCAGTGCCAGTAATATCCTTGGTGTGCTACCTTCCAGCGGTTCCCACACTCGTTGCACACGACAAAGGTGGTCATGGGCTCATCGGAGCTGCGGGTCTGCACCTGGAGGAGGATACAAAGGAAAGGAGAGGTGAGCATCGTATGCTGCCTCGTGGGAGGGTCACAAAGCAGCTCCTTGCCCCCATCCCACCCCAGCAACCAGGGATTCATGCTGAATATCTGGTCACACTTGCAGAAATCAAGACATCAGGGGTTGGGAGCGCAAAGAGCCTCCCTGTAAAATGAATCTGGTTATTGTTTTACACAGAAATTTACACATCCACACATATGTTCCGAGACCATTAGGAGACTTGCAGATTCTGCAGCTAAACCAAGTTTCGCAGTGTCTAATTTATTGTAATCTAAACAGACAAGCATCATCAACAGCCGCCTGCCAGCGCTCCCAGGGTACAGTGGGTAAACACCAGAGCAGCTGAAAGCTCTGGCACTAAAAGGCCACTGATAGGAACTGGAGGGATGCCCCACCAGACATAAAGACACACATGTGACAGATACCCACACCACAGCAGGGACACTTCTCCCCAAGCCAGAAGCACACACAAGGACTTGCACTGCTGCAAGAGAGCCCCACGTCTACTCAAGTGATTGCACAAGCACCTGAGGGGCTCTGATCTCCCTGCTACAACCACTTTTTCTTAATGATTGTGACAAAAGCAACAGCAAGAAAATGACCCCGTCAGCATTCAGCAGCAGCTGCTTGAGGAGACACTGCCTAATGGTCCTTCACAAACCTGACACCATCTGAGCAACTCGTTTTGGGGCAGCAGCCTTCCCTTCTCACCCCTCATTCTTTGTGGGTGGCTTTGGCAGCACACACAGCCACAGCCGTGCTGCGCCCCAGGAAGGGATGCAGCTGGCTGGGAGACTACAAAACCCTCAGCCCATCAAGCACATGCTCCACAGGAACACATAAAAAAGCACTCAAGCCATTCCCTTTTACAGACCAGTCCCGTGTCCTGGCCTCACAGAAATATACTCTGGGTTACCAGGTTCTGCACATTTCCAGTCTGCTTTCTATTTGAGTCATTAAAGAACTGATATTTAACCCAGATGTGGCCAGCTCTTGCCAGAAACACAGTTTACTAAGAAAAAAAGATAATCAGATTTTCATGGCATTTGAGTTCCACAAGGCACCAAAATATTGGCACCCTTTGAGCAAATCAGACAGCAGAACTATGCCAAAGGGGTAATTATGATGATCCACATGTGTAATTACCTAACGTGCAAGAGCCACAGCATTTGCATGATGCAAACTAAACACGTTCCTCAAGAATGCCAGATAGCTGAATTCTGGCATTCCCACCCGACGTTACTCTTAGGCTCTCAATGCTTTCATAAATGCCAGTTCACCCTCCTCAAGCGTAGAACACATTAATGCCAGTGACTGTCTCTTCTCTGGAAAATTTTCTGATTATCTCTATTTAAAAGACACTGCCATGATCTGCCCCAATTCTAAGCAGCCAGACTCCAGCTTACAAGTGAAGCTCAAGTCCCACATGCTGCCAAGACAAACGAGGCAGCCCTGCAAGCTGACTTACTGGGCCATGCTCAGAGCCAGGCCTCTCATCCAACCCAGTCTGTGGGATGCAGAACTGCTGGACAGCCAGAGGAAAACCCAGGGTCAGCTGCCTGGCTCTCATCTGTTTGCATGTCACACCCAAGCATATTGAAGGGTTTCACTTGGCTCTTGCACACGCAGTTTGGGCACACATACTCAGCAAACATTAGCAACTGTGAGATTGCTGGTGCATTTTTTGGTAACTAAACATTCCAAACCACTGACTTGCAGCAAAGGCAGATTGATCTCCAAACACCTGGCATAAGCATGGGAACTAACACATACTGGTAATGCACAAAGCTTCCAGCAGCTGTCCATCAAAGGGAACAAATCACCTCTGCTTGCTCATACCACTGTTTCACTTATTCCTTATTAATAATTTCACCTCTTGAATGCTTTTATTTCGAACAAGCTGGGATTTGTTCAACCACAGCTTATCTATGTGCTTAATTTGCACTTCTAATACCATCAACATGCCTACTTCAGTTTCTGCAGCCTCTCTTCTACACAACCCACTCCTCCTTTTTCTGAGCCTCCACGTTCCCTGCACCTGCTTTCAACATGAAGCTCTCCCAAGCTGCTCAGCAAGCAGCCCTGACATACTGCTGGTATGACATCCCTTGGTACTGCACAAGCCCAGCTCTTCAAGAAAGAGAGCAGCATTTGCTCAAGGTTACAGAAGCCCCAATGAAAGATGACCACAAAAGCATCACTGTTGTATTTTAGAGAGCCCTGAGCACACCAAAAGCTTCTCCCCACCAGTAGCAAGATCTCTGCCATGCTGCTTGCTTGCTGAGGAGCAGTAAGAGCTCCAGACCATGACAGATCATTTCCTTTGCAGAGGTCAACGCCATGGAGGCTACAGGAGCAGGAAGACTAACCTGGGTGTAAGTGCAGTTCTTCTTCTTGCATTTCCCACAGGTGAAGAGGTCAGTCTGCGTCCCTCCTGTCTTTGCCATCTGATGTTCCCGGATTGCTTCTTTCGTCATGGCTTTCCTGATCTCTTTCAGCTCATTACTGGCCATTTCCTTTCAAAAAAGCAATAAAGTCACATCTGCCCAGTTCTTCCACCACACCCACCACACTCCAGAGAGTCAGCAGGAGGGAACAGCCTAACAGATGGGCCTTTCACTTTTGGTTACTTGTTCATATCTAGGCCCCTGGGATGCTATGAAGTTCCATCAGAGTATTCTCCACATCACAATCACCACTACCAGCCCCCTCCTCATACATTCTGGTAGCAGCTGCTGAGAAATCTGCAACCCTGGCAAGCAGACCAGCCACTTGCTTCAAAGTGAATCCATGTGATACTTTCCCTGTAAGAAACAAACCCTGCTCAGGCTTCCTCACCTCCGAGGTCATCACTGCAATCTGTTCAGGAGTAATGGCCCCACACAGCACATTCTTTTTCAGCTCAGGATTTTTGGAGTCCTTCAGATTGGAGATGCGGCTCCTCACTCGGTTTTTGTATTTCATGTCAGTGTTTTTGATATCTTGATATATGCGTACATGGCAGTCAAGGACTTTCCAGTCAATCCAAAGGCTTCCAACCACCATCTACACCACTCACGAATAGCAGAGTTATTGCTATTTGATCACCACTGCTGTGATCAAAAGACAGCTCCTGCTCTAGGAAGTTAACACTATCAATAATACACAATCCCAGGCTCCAAAGGCTTCCAATGCTAACTTTTTCCACATAATCCTGATTTTCAATTATGCTTGGTTCTTCAACCTACTCTCTATCAGCAAGACAGACATAAAAACCCTGCACTCAGAGTGCAGCTGCACCTCCTGCCCCACAGCCCCCAAAAGCAAGCAAGCTCTTGGCTATTCTCAAATCTACATGCAACTTCAAACTCACTGCTGTCTTCCCCACTGCTTCTGCCTCATATCAGCACAACGCTCTCAAGAGAGAGGCACAGAGCTGCTGTATGTCTTTAGAAGCAGGAGATACTATTTTGATAGGAAGGAGAAACTCGTCCTTACAAACCCATGATGGTGTGAACGGGAAGGAAATATCTGTGTCAATCATACCAACTGTGTCAATCAGAACATTTACACAAAGACTGAGTGCCCCCTTTTTCTTCTGTGCTCGCTAATATCATGGCCTGGAGACATGCAGACCCTTAAGAAAGCCCAGTACAGCAAGGATATATTCTTCAATCTGAGCTGCTATGTGCTCACAGTCAGCACCAATGGCAATATAGTCATCTGAAAGACAAAGAGAAACAAGAGGTCAGTGATTTCCAACTAGGCAAGGGGTCCCTGGGCTCAGTATTGAAGACACAAATCCAGACTGCTATTTTGGTTTACGTGCTCCTTTCATCACTGGCATCTTGGCCTTTGCTCTAGGCACTCTCTGACCCTTTCAAGAAGAGCAGTGACAAAAGCAGACAAATCCAGCCAGTTATGCCCTCCATCTCTCTATTGGATGGACTGCACTCACAAAGCTAACAAGAAGCTGGTCCTTCAACAATAACCTCCTCCATATCCAATGTATTTTTGCCATAGTTGAGGTCAAACTGGAAGGAATTCATTCTCAGCAGAAATTGGTGTCAATGAGAAGTAGCTCCACTCAGACCAACTCTGACAGAACCTAAACCATGCAGCATTAGAGTCAAGCCTTCATTTCTTTTCTCAGTTCAGGCTCCCTCCTCTTTTCTTTCACATGCTACTTTCTGACAGTTAAACAGCATCATAGAGAGCAAAAACTGTCATCAGCTTATACACTGGGTATGTTAACCAACACCACGAAGTAGGGGAAAGCAGTGCAGAGCAGGGCTGAGCTTAGCAGCAGACTTGAGGGGACTGCTTCCCAGGCTTCACATGGAAGGAGTTCTTCTAAGAGTTACACAGGGTATTTAATGCAGCACACACACACAGGCTAGAAATAATGACTGTATGAATCTTTCCATCTGCTGTCTACATTCCCTAGCTTCAAATTAATAAAACAGCAGTGCTTAGACAGATACCAGTTTTCCAAGAGGATCTGCAACATGGTCTCAAGTATACATTCAGCTTGAGGTGTTTAAAATCTGACTTTTAGAGATGCTGAGCACCTGCAGCTGCCTCTGGCTTTAGAGAGCACATTCTGAGTGGAAGAGAAACTTATTCTATTCCAGGTCCACAGAGGACCACAGTATTTAAGCAGCTCCAGCCCATAAATACAGGAGAGTCTAAGTGCAGGAGGCAGCTGGCATAAGCACCATTACCGACACATTCCGTATACTGAGTTACAGCTTCACTTTGCATCCCAAGGATACGCAGAGATGACAGCTTCACTTTACAGCAATCAGGTAAGACTGAGACCTAGAAAGGGAAGCAAATACCTGCACACCTGAAGATCAAACTTCTGGCCAGACCCACCCACCCAGACTGCAGAATAGAAGACCACACAACCCCAAGTTCTTAACTGCCATTGCCTGACACATCAGGTCCCTAGGCAAGTATCAACAGCTGCTGCAACACCAGCCAGCCTGACAAAGGGTGATGACAAACCAAACTGACTGCAATAGTCTTTTAACAAGGCTGCTCCAGAAAAAGCATATCTAAGAGGATCCAAATTTGGTATTGACCCACATGTAGAGATCTATCAGAACTCACTGGAAGCTGAGAAGTATTTCAGGCAAAGTAGGGTTTTGCCCAGCACCTACCATCAGCCTGCAGAGCTGTTGTCAGCATTTCTCTGCATTTGTTACGGACAGCATCACAGGTGATGGGCGCCGGGGGGAAGGTGGTGATTTTGGGGGTGGTCGGGGTCTTCGGAGGCTCCTGCCTTTTGTTGGAGCTAAAAGAGAAACTTCACCTGTCAGAATGTCTCAGTTCGGGTCACTGAGAGCAGAGAAGGGATCAGCAGGCATGTGGCCAAGCATCCTGTTAATTATAATACAAAACAGTCAGAGGATACCAGTGCAAAGACATGCTCCAAACCAGCACACAGTGCAACACAGCAGCCAACACCACCAACCCAGATATGAGTTCTCCAGTGGAATGTGCTGGCAGTAAGTCGAGGTTTAATCCATGAAGCAGGCCTGCCAATCAATTGGTTATTGAACACAAGCCACAACTGCTGAACCACCAGGCAGCACTTGAAAGTATTGCAAAGCCATAGGACACTGTCAGTAATTCAAACGTGCTCAGAACTTCCTGAGACATCCTTCACCCCTGAGATGCCAGCAGTGGGAACTGAACACTGGCACAGAAACGCAGCACGGTGTGTTCTGCAGCAGAAATCAGAGAAGCTTACACAAGGCTCTGCAGAGCAAGGGCTTTCTGTGCTCAGAAAAAGAAAAAAATGGCTCCTTCAGGTCTGATATATAAAAAGAAACACAGCAAAACACATAAGAGGATTTTCCTTTTTCCTCTGATTACTCATCTCATACAAGGGCACCCCTACACATCACGCAGCTCACACAGGTGCCAGGTGGACACAGGACTAATAAACACAACTTCCCTTGCAAAAAAAAAACCAACATTTCCCACCTGCAAGCACTTGTAGGCACAGTCAGGGAAATGCAAACATCTGCCTGCTGGGACTGCATCAGCCAGCTCGTCTGCCAGGAGAGCCAGGGGGCACCCAGCCATCACCCCACATGCAGCAGGGTCCAGCACTGCACAGGCTCAGATTTGTTTTTTGAAGGAGTAATTCCATGGAGCAGTTCAGCTTGGGGTACATCCACAGTGCTGAAGTATCTTACCCATAAAGCCTAACATCTGCACATAGAGCTAGCCTTGCAATCACCACAGAAAAAAATTGGGGCTATTATGACTCCCAGATGACTTTATAGATCTTTCCTCCCCCTATCCTGCCCTGCTTATATCTAGGCAGTAGAACAGCCAATTTTTCAGCAGAGATTGCTCTAACTTTGGTGTTTGGGCCATAAAACACACAGTATTTATTGCCAGTATCTGGGTAACATCAATGCAGTAAGAGAGAAAACAAAAATAAGAAACCCTGAAAATTTCAGCCACACCACACTGGCCATGTTTCCTTGAGATACAAGTGGCTGAACATCACTAAGAAGTTGGGACACTACTGCCAGCTTTCTGCCATGAGAAATCTCTCATCAACAAGCACTTCCACTGCACTGCCTGGGAAGGGATTAGTTATTCCACAGCAGGGCAGAACTGAGCTGGAACCCACAGCTGTATGTACAGAGCCAGACAGCCCCAGGGACTCAGGACAGGGACCCCACTGCTGCCAAGTCCAAATCCTGCCTGGCTCTGCAGTGCCTCAAAGCCTTCAGATCATCATCAGAACTGCTGGATTTGCCTTATTCAGAAGGGCCCCCACCAGTGCACCTTGAGCATGCTGTTCAGGTCAAAGCAGAGCTGGAAGATTCATTTCTCTCTCAGATGAAATAGAAGCATTTTGAAAATTCTATTGTCAGCTCACTTACACTCTGCCCAGTAGCTGAATGAAGACTTGTTGCTGGCTAGTTTTACTGGTCAGCACTGCACCAAGCTACTAAGAAACACATTTATTAGGTGTCCAAACAGCTAAAAACACTCAGAATTTACATTACATATAGAATCATACAATATATGACAAGAGAAAAAACTTAGCTTGCAAATAATCACTCATGATGATCTTTTCTCTGGAGGACACAAATTGCTAGCAGGTACTTTTGTACTTAAGGAACTATGTACAGATCACAGATGTTGCACAAGAGAGTGAATGCAGCAAATGACACACAACTCAAAAGCTCATCTGAAAATTGCAGCTGATCTTGTAGAAAACACTTCAGAAAAATTGGACTTCCCAAAGAATAAAGGAAAAAAGCCTGGAAAGAATATGTGAAACAAAAGGAAACACTGATAGGATTAGAGTGGCTTACAGTATGGACTACTGGGAGGAATGCTGAAATACTTGAAAACTTGTTACAAATACAGATGGCAGGAAAAAATCCTTTGTATTTGCAAGAAAAAATAACGGAATACAAAACAACAATCTTAACAAGACAGGTTTTGATCAACACTAACTTTCAAACTGTAAATATGAGTTATTAACTGGAAGGGACCAAAGGCAGCTCTGAAAATACCTTACACCCTGAGGGTTTTCTATAGGGCTATCAAAGAGCAGCTTAGAGAAAGGCCCAACTTCAAGTCAACCTTCAAACTACCATGGACAAACTACCAAGACCTTTTAATTTTAATAAGATTCTCTCTCTGAATGCTATTAAATATTTCATATCAATTTAAATAGCAAAAGTTTATTCCCTGAAGGTGGAAAAAGCTAGATAACTTGCATGGTTATCAACTTCTGTCAACTGGCGAGCAACAGTTTTTGCCTGCATACCTGCACATGCCCTGAGATGACAACTGATCACTCCTGAGGTAGATCAAATAGGCTCTGAGCTATTCCAAAGGCTGTACAGAGAGCTGTTTATTAAGCTTCAGAAGTTAGTTTATAATTAGAATAGTGGGAAATAGACCTCAAAGACACCAAGAAAACTTATTTCAGGAAATCCTTGCGGTTCACACTGTTCCTGAACAGGAGAAAGAGCTTGTAAATCTATCCAGACAACAAAAGTTCACACACACACACAAAAAAACCACACATGTATGCTAAAACCAAATGGTACAAAGCAACAGCCAGGCATCACAAACACAACTCAGGGCTGCACTGGAAGAAAACAGCTGAATTAAGGCCACAGATCCAAAACTTCCCAATAAAAGCTTCAGAGAGCCCCAGAAAAGAAAAAGCTGCCAGAGACAGAGAAACATTAGACATTGTCCATTAAGATGTACTACTGTAATGGCTAAAAGTACTACAGCACAGAGGATCACAGTAACACAGCAATTTGCAGGTGCCAGCCCCACGCTGGCTGGCTCGGAGCCTGCAGATCTAGCAGCATCAGCTCTCCAGTCACTACAGAGGGATTGCTACATCTGTGCTCCAGAAAGTAAGACAAACTGCAAGCCAAGAGCTATTTGGGTTTCTCCCTCCGACAGAAGAGGAAGGCGTAGCCAAAATCTATCAAAATAAGTGGCTGAAGTATCTGTATACAATCTGATCTCTTTGGTGCCTCAATAGCAGCCTCATCTGAACCTGCAAGCATAACACACTGAGCAGCAAGTTGGGCTCCTTTCATCACAGCCTGCACTTCAAAGAGCAAAGCCAAGAACTCCTTGCTGCTAATATTTTTTTTTTCCCCAAGGCAGATTAACAGTTCATTTTGCAGCACTGGAGAATAAGCACTGCACTCTGTAAAGAGCCTGCCTCAGCCTGACACCAGGAGCTCACCACTATGCTGGATCTGTGCTAAGCTCCTCCCTTTGCTTCTGTTTATCCCTCGCAACCAAGGGGATGCTTTACCATTCAAAAGACTGGCAGAGGAACATACATCAAGGATCAAGGGAAAAAGCAGCAGTAGCTGCAGCATACCCTCGAGGCACAGCGTAAGGGTAGCAGCACAAACCAGAAAGCTCCATTCCACACATCCTATGACAACCATCTGCCCAAGAAGGAAGGGGAGGGCTGGGTTGTCTCACTACCTACAGCCAGGATCCCGTTGAAGTTTCCCCTTTTTCTTTCAACTGCAGTACTGCTTCCTGGCTTGAATGGGATCAGACGACTCTGTAATACTTGCCTTTCCCTTTCCCCAACAGGCCCAGCTGACAAGCTCCTGGCCTTTACACAGAAGAGCCAGCTGCCTCCCTTTACCATTCAGGGGATGCTCAAAGGCTCTTACCTCAACCACTGACTCAATTCCTATCCCCATTAAACCTACAACAGATTTTTCACTTGTCCACACGCTGGGGAAGGGAGTATTCACTGCATTTTCATAGAAGATAAAGACCACAAAGAGAAGGTATTTGCATCACAAAGCTGGTGATATTGCTCAGACTAATTACAAAACAAGCCCTTCTCATCTATCACTGACTGCTTCGTGGCCTTTAAACAGCTTCTCTTCTCAACAGGAGAAGAAACAGCACCTGGAAGATCCCAGCCTACTGCTTTAACCCCCATACCACGGGCACACACCCGACTGCCACTAGATGCATCATGCACACAGCTCTTGCTCACATCACACTCCAACAGCCAGTTCTCTGACTGTGAATTCTCCTCTATTAAAACTTCCATCGCAACATCAAATCCATTTTCACATTTTATGGAAGTGAGGTAACCAAAGACACATGTAAATTAAGTCACATCGCTCAGCATTAGTGGCTGTGCCCACCACCTGTCCTGTGCAGTGAGCTCTGAAGGGTGAGAAAGCTTACACCAAAATACTGATCCTGAGAGATCTGAGCAAAAAAAAAAACAACAGCAGAGGAGCAAAGGATAAAGTGACAGGAAAGTGACCAGCAGGGAACAGGCCACAAACACGTAAAACCATAAAACTGTGTACAACAGAGGGACTTGGTACTCTGAATCTTCTGGCAAACTTAGGAAATAGGCAGTATCATCTAAGTGTCAAACCTATGACAAACCCATCCTCCTGGGATTGAGGCAAGCCTCTTGAAATGTGAGATGTAAAGCCTTGTCCCACATTTCCCCTCTCCCCTTTGATCACACTGCCTCCACTCAACATCTTAGCATGTATAGGACAGTGGAAATAGGATGCAACATTGAAGGAGCAAGCATGCAGCAGACCTTCTAGAGGGGTGGACACCAGCCCAGAGTGAAAAGAGAACTTCTGCTGGGACTTGCTAGAAAGGGCACAGAGAAAGGGAAGTTTTAATACAGCGATGTATGAATCAATCCCATCTATAACTTGAGATTGCAAAGGCCAAAGAATCTCTGAAGAATTCAGAGTTAGAAATAAGCAAAAGCATCAATGCAACAAAACCCAGAAGTATTTCATTAATTAAAAAACTGACAGAAAACCTGAAAAGTCATGAATAAAAGCAAAAAACTCACTAAAGCCACTGTCTTTTGTAGATGTTTGTTTCTGTGTAACAGTTCAGTATTAAAAACACCACACAGCTCACCACTGAGGAAACCCATAGACTCCTAGTGACCCTGACCAGGAATCTGAGTACACAAATTCCTCAGCTGAGATACTTAGAAGTGAAAATTCAAGTAAGACACTAAGAGAATATTCAAATTAGATAACAGTATCATCTCCAGCTAAAGGGAAGCATTACCTTTGGTCTCTTGAGTTACCGGTCTCCTTTGAGGAAGATGTTGGCAAGGACAGGTTTTTCTTCTTCTCCTCACTTTTTTCCTCTGAAGCATCTAAATTTGAACAAAAAGAAAAAGCAAACTTGAATGCAAAGTGTTCAGAACAGTTCTTTACACTGTAACCCTGCATACACTAAGCAATGTCCTAAAACTTCACAGAGCTGGCTCAAGGCAAATTATTCTACAAAAAGAATTTTAAAAAGACAAAGAAAGCTTTTACGGCCCTGCATGCAGACCTTCTACTTGCCTTCAAGTAGAAGCTAATTTAAACAAAAGCTTTCCCTACTAAACCAGAAAGCAGGGATCAATCACCTTCCCTCCTCAAGAGATAAGCTTCCTCACAAGACCTGCCTCATCACAAAAGTTCCTTTCAAAGACTCTGGCTGCTGAGTACAGATTGAATTAAGTTCTCTAAAGTGTCACCAAATGCAGTATTTCAAGCCAACATCATCTGAAGGCCAGTAAGAGCTGGCCCTTCTGGGAGTCTTGCACTTCCGAAGCGCTGCTGAAAGCCAAGAGCACAACCCTGAAGATGGCTCTCATTACACTGCAGAACTAGTTTCATCCAGAGATAAATTGTCTGAGCCAAGCAAATACACATCAACCCTGATGTGGAAAGCCCAGTTGCAGATTCTGCTCAGTGCCAACTGTCATGAAAGCCCCTCCAGCAGAAAACAATGTGAATTTGTCTGCAAGTTGTTAAACTAAGATCCTTCTCCAAGTCATCATCCAAAATCCATTCTAGCACTTCTCTTTCCAAGCTGAGGTACAAGGCTGACAGCACATGCTGTATGAATGCCACGTAGCACACAAGTCAGGTTGAAGGCTTCAGAGTACAGATATTGTTTCTATAACTAACGTTGCTAATTATCATATAATTAGAATAGTTCTGAAGCTTTCCCTGTTCTTTCCAGCCAACTAGCCATTGAGTTGACAAACAGGAACTCAAACAACCAGTATGCATAGCAACAGATGAAACTCCAAAGGTAGTGCAGTTTCAAAGGCTGGTTTTCTAGAATGTTCTACATGGATGCACAAGACCTCCTGAGAAAGCCAATCTCCCACTGAAACCAGCACCCTCACAAGTGGAATCTGACAGGAACATGATTGTTTTCTTACCTAGAAGTTTTTTCCAAGATTTGATGAGTGATTTGGCAAGTGCTATCACTTCTTCATCTGTACTCTGCTTCCTCAGTGCATTCACTGACATACCAATGCGGGTGGACTGCAAGTGAACATGCACATGAATCATTCAAGAACAGATATGTTACTCGTTACCAACTGAACTCAGAAATAAGCATAGCAAAGTCAAAACAATGACCAAGATACATATTATCCAAGAGTTCCCAGAATCATCTACTCCTTATAACTCCAAAAGCAAGGGATGACAGTGTCCAGCTTGCTGGGACTCATCACAAATTGGGCAGCCCATCACTCACAAACACCTCTACACACCTGAGTCATTTAAGCTTAGAGTGAAAGAATCCCAAATGTGCATCTTAATCTCTGAATTGTTATTGTGTTCAACATCTCCCTGATGTCCTGAATATCACCATTACAAAGACTTAAAGAACTCCTTCCCTCAGCCCCCAACACACTGTCATTTACATCTTCCCTTTTATTTTGAGGATCTATGAAGGGATTTGAGCATATGCCTCATCAGCTGTGTACAAACTTCAGGCAGTACACTTTTGCCTAAAGCTGTTTTATTGATGCCCAACACACAGGTGCAGAGCTATTTTCTAGAGGTAATATTTATTTTGATGCTTGGAGTAAGGCAAGAAGGCAGAGTAAATTATTACATTCCTTTAAAAAGCATTCTGTGCTCCTCCAGAGACAGACTTCAGCTCTGCACCCTAACTGTGCAACTCACCTGCAGTAAGTCCAAAGTCATAGGCATACTCTTCAGTTCCTTCAGTAAATCCATTGCACCATCCTGCAGAAGAAAGGATAGAGAATGGGTGCCTCAGCATTTAGTAAAGAAATGCAACAGCTTGGGAATAAATTTAGAAAGTTGAAATCAAAGATGACAATTCTTCCCTAAAACATCATCAGGGCTGCTGAGCATTAGGTCACTGCCCTCACCTGACAAGTTCAGGACCTTTAACACCTGAAAAATCACTCTGAATCACAGCTGCCACCTCAGCACACATCTGGCTGGCATGAGTAATTCTACCTAACTGTTTTGTGAGCCTTGATCATTGACATCAGGTTGTAAAAACAGTTCAGCAGAATTGCAAGAACTCCAGTCACCCACTTACATCTCAAAAGCATTGCCTACAGCCACAGCTACCTGCATCCTCTTTCTACCACTTGAAACTCCATGTGATCACCTCGCAGTAGGCACGCTGATATCCCCCCTCTGCTCAGAACAAGAGCTGGTACCAGGAGCAAAGCATCAAGCAGCAAAGCTAAGGAGCTGGCTGCTTGAAACTCATTAAAGTTTTCTTGCATCAGTTTCACAGCCCCATAATCCAGAAAATCTGTCTAGCAATCTTGCAGGTGCCTAGAATTGGTAGTCTAAGACAAACAGCAGGGACAGAAACATGAGCCACGTCTCCTTTTAGCAGCACTCTGCAGCTCACAGCCTGAAGCAAGCCCACTTCCATTCAGCCAGCTCCTCCTCATCCCCTTCTATCAAACAAGACCTCCCAGTGTTCACATCCATTTCCATTCCATTGGCAGCTTATTTCCAACACTAACAACTCCAAGCTCCAAACTCCAAGACCTATAAGGCCCATCATTGTAGTGACACAGACTGCCCTGCATCCCCTCCTCCCTGTTGTTTCCCATCCACTGCAGGAAGCAATCCAGCTGCCAGTGCCACCCTAGAGAAAAGAGGCCGAGAAAGCCAAATGAAAGCAGAAGGAAAGCTTTCAGCACACACAGAAGCAACTCACACCAGCATAAGCCACACATCACAGTACCCAGAATGAGCAGCTTCCCATCCAGGCAGGTTCAGACTTTTCAGTTCCTCCAACAGTAACAGACTTCATTAAATCCAGCCCTTAACATACAAAAAGACGTGGTGATTCATGCTTCTGTTATCAGAAGTGGAGCCACATTTGGGGAAACAGCAGCCAATCAGGATCCACACACAAACTAGAGCAACAAACAGGTACTCCAGGCAATCGCCCTGCAGGAAGAGTTTGCAAATTAGCCAATACACAACAAACAGATAAAACGCCAACCAAGAGGAAAGGTTGCATACCACTCCATTAAGAAGCTGCCTCTTTCTCAGTGAAGCTCAGAAGCAAGTTCAAAGTTACTTCTTTCCTATTTCAATAATGGCGTTGTAAACCTTCCATCAACAGGAACAAACATCAAAGGCTGAGCTGAGCCCAAGCACACGCTCCTGTTGGTACAACAGCTACAAGGTACCACTGTTCAGCCCAACACCCAGAAGTTCACTGATCACAGCTGCACCCAGCACCTCATAACCCAAAATTCATTCCCCTAATCCATTCCCCACCTCAGCCATCACCTCCCACCCCCCAAAACCCACTCCCTTTGGTCCAAACCCAGGTGTAAAGCCCTTCTCGCACCCAGTTTGCTTCCATGTCACAGCTGATGCTGTTGGAAACAGCAGAAGCTGACACATCCAATCAGGCAGCCACAGCCCCCCTGTCCCCCCCATTCCAGGGAGCCACTACAGACCCCATGAGACCCACGGCAGGCAGACAGCAGCATGGCCAAACCCTCCATGCTCTGAAAGCTGGTGGCGATGAGCAGAAAAAATGCTTCTACGGAACAGGGCTGCAAGAGGGAGATACAGAAGCGCTGGGGGTCACCCGAGGATGTGCTGGGGTTAGATATGAGGAGGAAGTTTTTCACACAGAGGGTGGTGAGGCACCGAAACAGGTTGTCCAAGGGGGTGTGGATGCCCCATCCCTGCAGGCATTTAAGGCCAGGCTGGATGTGGCTCTGGGCAGCCTGGTCTGCTGGTTGGTGACCTGCACATAGCAGGGGGTTGAAAAGAGATGAGCACTGTGGTCCTTTGCAACCCAAGCCGTTCCATGACCCCCCCCCCCCTTCCTCCTCCATAAAGAGAATGGGGAAGAAGGGTTGGGAGTGCTGCCCAGTAAGAAAGCAGAGAGCTCGGGGGGGGCTTCGCAATGAGGACACACAGCCCTCCCCTCCAAAACGGCGGGGGGTGGCACAGGGTGGGCCTGACCGCATTGCAAGGGGATGGGGGGGGTACAGAGCGGGGGGTCGTGGTACGGCCAGGCGTGGGGAGGGGGCAGGGCTGCAACACAGCGATGATGGCCGTTGGAGACAAACCCCCCCTCCCCACTTCAAAACACGGCCCGCAGATGGGCAGCAGGGCGGACCCCCACCCCCAGAATGGAAGGGGGGAGGCGGGGAGGGACCCCAAAAGCACGGCGCTGCAGGGCTGTGTGTGTGTGTAACGGGGGCTGCCGCCACTCACCGCGCTCTTTTTGGCCACCATCTTGTCCAGCCGCTTGGCGATACGCACGATCTCCTCCTCCCCGCCCATCGCTCCGCTCCCCGTAGCGGCGAGGCCCGGGGGGTGTGACGGGGGAGGGAGGGACGGCGGCGATTCCCGGTGCTCACCTCAACCCCCCGGTACCGCAGTCCGAGCGGGCGGCGCGCGGGGCACGACGGGATTTGTAGTCCGAGCGGCTCCCGCCCGCCTCCTCCCCGCGCACGGCCGGGCGACGGGACTACAGCTCCCGGCATGCTTTGCGCCCGCTGGAGGCGCGCTGGGAAATGTAGTCCACCCCCTTGGAGGAACCGCAAGCCCCGCTCCCCCCCCACCGCCATTTTAGGGCTGCCCGAACTCAGGGGCTGAGCACATACGGCTGTGAGGCGCCGTGGGCTGGGCTGAGCCCTTAAGCCTGGCTTGGCATTCCCTAGCCCAGCCCCAAGCTGTACCCTAAAGCATCCTCACCTTGAAGCTGTGCCCTTTATAAGCTCCGCACAGGTGTGCCCTCTCTGCCCCTCCCAGCGCCTGGCCAGGTGGGCAGAGCTCGATGGATGGCGGCAGCTGTGAGATGGGCTGTGAGCCAGCTGTATGCTGGGCTCGTGGCTGGGGAATCACAGAATCATTACGGCTGGGAAAGAGCTCCACGACCCCCAAGTCCAACCCCACCCCACCGTGCCCACTGACCTCATCCTTCAGTGCCACATCCCCCAAACACCTCCAGGGGCGGTCATCCCACCACCCGCTGGACAACATTTCTTCTAGTGGGAATCCCAAAACCAAACAAGCTGCTCCAGCAGTGATCAAACCTCAATCACGCTCAGCACCACGCTGACCTACTGCTTGCTTACACTGACATTTGGGGCTGTTCAGCTCAGCCTGGAGGAATAACAAGGAGCGATGGGGTGCAGGGGGAAGCGTGAGCCCATTTGGGATCTGGGCCCTGGAGCCACCCTGTAGGTGGCACTCGTACACTGTGCAGGGCCGGCACGTCCCCGGGGTGCTGTGCAACGTCTGCTCCTGGGACTCGCTGCAAGCATCGATCTGCTCTGCTCAGCTGGATCCTGGCAGGAGGAGAGCTGCGATGCCTCCTGCGCAGCCACTTCGTCAGAACGCGACGTGTCAGTGGTTGGGAGAAGGAAAAGGAGAAGAAACACCAGCAGGCTGCAGCTCCAGCGAGCGCTGGATGCTGTCTCCTTGCTGCTGCTGGTAGAGCCCTGATTATGCTGGTAAATAGCTGCTGCGTCCTGCCTTGGCAGGCTGCAAGTCAGCTGAATGCAGGGGTTTGTTACATGAGGCTGTGAGCTGCAGAATTCCATGTTGGGAAGCAGGGATCCTTGAGCTCAGCCACAACCCCGCTCTCTCCTACAGAGAGTCACCGAGGCCAGGGTTTAAATCAGCACACAAAAGTGGAGAGAATGGAACACATTGGTGCTAAATCTCTGGGGATAGCTGTCTGCCACAATGGCATTTTTGGTACTCAAAGATGTTGCTTTATGGCAGCTCACACTGAGTTGGACAAATCCGGGATCCCCTTGGGCAAGAGCTGCTCCCCAGATGTGCGAGAGACATTTTGCGTCGCCCACAAACCAGCAGAGGTGGCCCCAGCCCAAACCTGAGCTCCAGCCCCTCTCCCTGGTGTGACGTTTGGCACTACCTTGACAGTTCTTGGCTTGGGTCCCACGTTTGTAAACGCAAATCCCCTCCAACCCTCAGTCTGGAGCCTTTGGAGCCTCTGTCCCTCGGCAGGGTCTGGCTATAGGGCAGGAGGTGCTATTTTGGCCCATCTCTGCTAGACAGGAAGAAGCCAGGAGATCTTCTGGAGGTCCCTGGCAGCAGGCGGCCGCCTGTCCCATGTGTGGGGTCGGGTCATGCCGGTCCTCGGCGTCAGCGGAACGCTTGAGAGGCACCGCTGCCACTGTCAATGTGGTTTGTATCACTGCAACATGAACATGGTTCCTGACCACAAGTATGGCTGGGGACGTGTCTCAGATTCCAGACTGCTCACTCACACCGAGCACCATCGCCCCATCGGAGCGAGAAGCCTGTCACCCCGCTGCCTGCAAATGCCGCCCTCCCACCACGCCGGCCATCCTCTCCCAGCCTGATGGCATCCTGGAGGGACAGGGCTGCACAAAATGCCAGCTGGATGGGAGAGATGTGCGACAAGCACAACTCTGCCGCTGAGCCACGGCCCTTCCATCCTTCTCACTCTCCCCAAGGGTTAACAGGACAGGCGTTCACAGAGCGGGGAGGGTTTCTGGCTGACCTTGGCTGGGAAGCAGCGTGGCGTCGCTCAGCCCGGCCCCCCGAGTGCGAGCCGGTGGTCGGAGCGCTCGCCGAGCCTGGGTGGAGGTAGATCCAGAGGAAACTCCACCTCCGCGGGAGCCAACCTGCTATTGCAGGAATTCCCAGCGAAATTCCCGCTTGGGCTGATCTGTCAGCGGATCCGTGAACTTTCTTTTACCTCTTGTGAAAGCAGCTACTTGAATGTGCTAAAAACAGAGCACGGGGAGAAAAACTGTGGCTGGAGCTGGACCCAGGGGAAAGGCTGGGAGGGGGTTTTGTGGCCCCGCCATGCCTGAGAAGCACCTCCATGTGTGCTGCCTCACTTACAGGCTCCAGGGAGAGGAGTTTGTTGCAAAATGCAAACCCATAATATCTCACCTGGTTTTGCTGCTGGGCTCCCAAATGACACTCCAAAGATTTAGGACTTGGTGTATGGGCCGGCTGAAGGCAGATGAGTTTTCCTGGATGCCATAATCACTATAATTCATGTCAAAAAACATTTTTTCCCTTGCTTCCACCCACTTTGCTCCCATCTAGTTAGAACCCACAGTCTGGTTTGGTTTTTGGAGAAGGGGAATGCAAGAACCTTGTCCACCTACCCACCATAAGACCCCCCCATGGAACTTCTGTCCCCAAACATCTCTTCCTTCAGGTGTGCTGAAGACCATAAGACCCCCTCATGGAACTTCTGTCCCCAAACATCTCTTCCTTCAGGTGTGCCCAGGTCTGTGAAATCCCATCCTTGGTGTCATGGGAACTCTGGGGGCTCCTGGATGAGGTGCTGAGCCTCTTGCATGACACCCATTTCGAGATGCACAGCAAGGAGATATAAGACTCCATGCCTTCACCCAGCTGGGAGATGGGAGCAGCTGCTCTAGGCTCCGCTTTTGGGAAGGGGTTTTTTCTGCATCTCCTATCGCCACCCTTGTGAGCCTGCCTTGGCAGCAATTCGATGCTCCTGGCCTTGCTGGCTGTTTGCTTTTGGCTCTGGACTGGCTCCACCTGGCTGCATGCATCAGTGCCAGTGCCCCGCTGCCCTCTTCACTGTTAGTCAAACCATTCTCAGCACAGAGCTGCTCTGCGATTCCTCCCTTAGTCAAGGGCAGCTCCTGTTTGGGAGAGGAAAAGGAAAGAGATGGGGGAGCTGATCCCCGAGAGACGTGAGCTTGTAGCAACCCAAGCAAGGATCCCTCTCCTTTCTGCAAATGCCCAATGTCTTTAGTCTCCTAGGCTTGGCACTAGGAACATGCGAGCCTGGAGGCCAAAATTCTCCATACAAACACTTCAGAAATCTGGAGAATTTGGCCCACATGGTGACTTGCACTGCTGTCTTGCTGAACATCCTCTGAGAAGCCAAGGGACCTCTCCGTACCTCATCTGCTGGCACAGTCCCTCCTAACGCAGCAGAAACCTGTGTGACTCCCAGAGGACACCGCCAGCTCCATCCTGCCCCTCCAGCAGAGCAGCCCTGCAGTGGCTCTGTATGCCCTGCTCCCCCCAGCCCACCCATGCCTGGTGGCACTGCCACCAGCACCTCCTGTGCCAGCTGTGCGCGAGGCAGGATTTAGGTGTGGGATTTGGTCAGCCACCTCCTGCTGTTCAAAATAATAATGGGATAGGGAGGGAGAATAAGTGCTATGTATTCTTGAGGGACAAGTGGCTGGCACTGTGCTGTGCCAATCGGTCACCAATGTGCACTGGGGTCTGGACTGTGTGCGTGAGAGCTCAGGTCTCTTTGCTCTCCCCCTCCTGTCTCCTTTTATTCACCTCCATGAAACATAGGAAGTCGAAGCCATTCATTTGGCTATTTGTGGCTCGCTCCCCACGCCCCGGTTGCCTCCCCTGCCCCCTGCAGCCTCTCGGCTCTCTGCTTGCCCAGCATCCTTGACCCCGAGGAGTCTGGTGTGTATGCACTTCCCTTCTGGCCCATAGAAAGCGCCACTCTGAACTGGTGCCTCGATAAGTCTGCTGTGGGAAGGCAGGGGCTCCTGGGCTCTCACACTGGGCTTTCCCATGTAGCATTTCCTATGTTGTCCCTGCAAGCAGGGTGGTAGGAGCTCTCTGGATGGCAGTGCCCCTCTGTCCTCTTCGGTCTCTCTTTGACAAAAGCCACAGTGCATGAAGGGAGATGTTCTGCCAAGGAGGATGGTTGAACTTCTCAGCACCGAGCTGGTGGGTTAAGGTTGGCATCCCTCAGCTCACTTGTAGTAAAGGATTGCAAAAAAGTTTTGAAACCTAAGTCCCTTCTTTGCAGTGATTATGTAAACAGGGGTCTGCTGTTGTGTCCCATAGTTTGGGATGGATGGGACCTGTGTGCTCTCCAGGGTAAGCACAGGGCTGGGGCTGAGACCTCCGAAGGACTGGGTGCGAGGAAAAGCTGGAAGAGAGGGAGGGGGACATCTTGGTTGAGGAGAGGCTCAGCACTGAGGTCTGGGGCAGCAGAGTGATATGTCAGAAATATCTCAGAAATCTCCTTTCCTGAGCTGCCCTGCCAAAGCATGACATCCTCAGAGCTCCAGCCATGGGCTGAGAACTGCAGTGTTCCCTCCATCCCCAGCACCATGAGGACAGAAGTACAGTGTCTGTGCAGGGCTGCACAAAACCTTCCCACCAGTGAGCACCATGGCCATGAGGCAGAAGTGCAATCTTGGCCTCCTTCACCCATGGTTGTAGCAAAAGCTGCTTTGGCACATCTGCATCTTGTTGTGCACAGCAGGTCCCTTTACAGTGATCTGAAAGCAATGAGGTTGGGGATGGAACTGGATTCCTGGGGCTGGATTC